AAATTTTCTATGTCGAAATCGGACTTTGAAAAATTTTTCAGAGTTGAAATTGGACTTGAAAAATTTTCAGTTGGAATTCGGATTCAAGTTTGAAAATTCATCACGATGGATTCGTTTTCAAAGAATTATTCAATTTGAATTCCGATTAAAAGAATTTTTCAATTTCAATTCTGATTTTGAAAATTTTTACAAGTTAAATTCTGACTTAGAAAAATTTTCAATATTTGATGCGAGCATGAAAAAATTTTCCACGTGCAATTTTATTTTGTATAATTCATGAAATATGTGACTGTGCATAAAAAGAACTGACTTTGATAATAACTTTTTAACAGTTTTAAATTTTCATAGTTTTTTAATAAAAATTCAAAATCGTAATATTTTTTAAAGAGTTTTCAATAGTTATACAGTTTAGAACTGTTTTTTAAGAGACAAATTTCTNAAAGAATTTTTCAATTTCAATTCTGATTTTGAAAATTTTTACAAGTTAAATTCTGACTTAGAAAAATTTTCAATATTTGATGCGAGCATGAAAAAATTTTCCACGTGCAATTTTATTTTGTATAATTCATGAAATATGTGACTGTGCATAAAAAGAACTGACTTTGATAATAACTTTTTAACAGTTTTAAATTTTCATAGTTTTTTAATAAAAATTCAAAATCGTAATATTTTTTTAAGAGTTTTCAATAGTTATACAGTTTAGAACTGTTTTTTAAGAGACAAATTTCTGCCTGGGTAGAGACAGTATGTGTTATTTAAACAGAAAAAAGCCATTTTCCTTGGACTTATTATTTTGAGAAACATATTTTGCTTTGTTTTTTTCTAGTTTATCATCAAATAAATATTTTTGATACAATTTTCTTCGGTATTGATTTTTTGTTGTTTGTTTGATATTGTCATTAATTGATTGAATTTAAGTGAAAAAAAAAATCAAACAAATCCGAAGAAAAATCGTGACCATTTTTGCGTCGAACAAATTAAGGATTTTTGTTTCCGTTGTTGATGAAAACGAAGAAAATTGAAAAATTGTTAAATTTTGTTTTAAAAAAACAACAAAATTCCTTTTTTTTCTAGGTGTTAAAAGAAATAGATTACCAACAGATCTTTTTCAACATAACATTCATCTATATCTTTTGATGATAATCGAATGGAAATTGACAGCTTTTTTTGGGAAAAAAACGAAACACTACCAGAATCGACAGAATCTAGAAGAAAAAAAAAACAATAAGAAAACAAAAATCGAATTGAAGAAAATTGTTTTCTTCTTCATCTCTATAATAAGTTTATTTATTTCAGGCAAAACAAGTCACGAACTGTTTTTGATTTGGATTTTCTCCTTTTTCATACTCAAGTGAAACAAAACAACAACAACAAAACAAAGGGAAAAAAGATAGTGAACGCCAAAATCCCAATCACATACTTTTTTTTATTATTTCTTTATTTTTGCAGGTGTCGAAAGACAATTGAAAATTATATTCTACTCAAATACAAGAATGAATGAATGAATACATTTCCTATTTTCACTGAGTGATAATAAAGAATACAGAATCAGAACGGGAAAGAAAATGAAGAAAGAAAAAAAAACTGAAACGAGAATCAATTTGATTAAATCAGTTATAAACATAGTAAGTGAAAGTATACTATCATTTACTTCAGTATGTATGTGTGTTATATAATACTATTATTTTTCTTTTTTTCATTGTAATGAATAATGGATATTTTTTCAAGATCAACACACACTGTGTGTGTGTGAGAGAGAGAGAGTGTAAAAGAATCTAGCCAAAAAAACGATCGAATCAATTTCTCATTCAATGACTGGAAAAAAAAGAATGATGATATGAATAAACGAGATAAGAGTTTGGGTAAAGAAGTAAAAAAAACTGGGTAAAGAAATAAGTCAAATAAGTAAGTCATCCAAATATATGGGTGAGTTATATACAGTTGGACACAGCCGTAACATATACATAATACGATCATCATCAGTTTTTATTCTTTTCATTTCAATTTCAATCATGATGTTTTTTTATTTCTATTACGATTTTCAGAATTTGAATAATTTGAATAATCCTATTTTGGATTAGTTAACAATCAAGAAAATCGATACTTGAAACATATAATGATGGTGGAATATGTGAAAAAAATTAAAAAAAAAACATTTTAATTCAATAATGAAATGCGGACACGCGTTAACCCTTTCGTGTGAAAGTCATTTAACATTCTACAATTTTCATCATCATCATCATCATCATCATCGTCATCATTATCATCATCATCATCATTATTAATATTATTATTATTATTATCATCATGCAACATAAACAACAAATTTATAATTAATGAGCTTAATGCCATACACTGCCAGTCTTATCCAGAATTTTTATGAAAAAAAATGGAGGGCATGTGTGTGTGTGTGTCTGTGTATGTTATATACACCAAATGGAACATTGGCATCAATTCTCCATTGACTAAAGGTTCATTTTTTTTTATACGCGAATGGATTTTTTTTTTGTTGTTGATTATATTTACTTGCATCAACTTGCTTTATAGTTGGCCAAACATCGATAGTTTATTTCATTTCATTTTTTTTCTATGTTTTTTTTTGCTTTGGCAAATTTTTACCGATTTTTTTCCCAGAAACAAACAAACAAACAAAAAAAATCCAGGCAATAAGTTTAGAAACTAGCCTAGGTTCTTTTTTTCTTCTCTGATTAGTTATATGATGCTAATTAGTATGAAGAAGAAGAAGAAAAAGTTATCACAACATTATCAACGGCAATCAGTATTTCAGCTTATGATGATGATGATGAATATAAGAAGAAAACAAAAAATAAAAGTAGAAAAAATATTCATTCAAACGAACCGAAAGTAAAAAAAAATCATCATCATCATCATCTGCAAACAAATCATCTTGTGTTACCTATGTTAATGTTGGGTATATATCTTGTTGACCAGGTTGGTTAACATAACGAATCAGGATGAAATTCTGAAAGAAGATACGCAAAAGCTAGAATATTCTTCATTTTTTTTCCCTCTTTACTTTGTCCAGATAATTTTTTTTTTTTTTGTCAAAACATAACATTACTTACTTGATTTTGATGAATGAGGTAAAATATAGGAATTTTCCGTTGCTGTTGTCATCATCATCATTGTTGTTGTTGAAATTTTATTATTATTATTATTGTTGTTTTTGATATTTAATCGATTATTATTACTAGCCAATGGTGATTGAGTATTTATTGGTGACATATCCGAATCAGAATGATAACCAGAAATATCGGAAGAATCATCCGTTGCAACCATCATTGTTGGTGCTTGTGGTGGTGGTGGTGGTGGTGGTGCTGATATTGTTGATTGATTGGAAAAATTTTGTTGTTGTTGATGATGATGATGATGATGAAGAACAGTTGTATCATCATTGACATTTGTACAATCAATCATCATTTGTTGTTGTTGTTGTTGTTGGTGTAATATATTGTTGTTGTTGCCTGTACATGGAATTGATGTCGATGAACAACAAGATGATGATGATGATGATGGTGATAAAGATTTTGTATTCATTTTTGTTGGCTGAATTTCATTATTAACCTTATTATTATTATTATTATTACCGGTAGCCAAAGTAAATGTTGTTGTTGTTGATGATGTTGGACATTGAGATGTCATTGATATTTGTCGATGTTGTTGTTGTTGTTGTTCAACAACAACAACATTTTCAACATTTTCAATTGTTCCATTTTCATGTTGAATTTCTTTAAGAAGATTGAGTACCTATCATGTCAGAAAAGAAAAGAGAGAGTGAAAACAATGAATAAAAAACAATGAAATTGAAAATGAAAGAAAAACAAACAAAAAAATCATTTATACGGTTATGGTCACTGTTGTTGTTTTCGTGTATGTTTTTGACTTTATTTTCAATTGTCATCTTAGATATATGTTAAATTGGTGGATAGTAAAAACAAATAGGAAGTTTGATTTTGACATTTTGAATGGCATCATCATTTATTTGATCGGCAAAACCAATCGACCATCGATGGAAGGTGATTTGGGGAGAGAAAAAAACTGGAATTCGATTGAAATTACAAAAGTGTCATCAAATTTTATTTTATGGTTCCATCCAAAAAAAAAGATTACTAGATTAAATCAAACTGTACAACAACAACAACAACAAAAAAAAATTCAATTGAATTGAAATCAATTAATTCTTTGAAATTCAATTCATTTTTTTTTTGTTGTTGTTAACCTTGTTTGAAAAATTCATTGATCAAATGATATCGATGATTAATTTTTTTAAGAAAGCCTATAGAAAAAATACATATGTGATACACACTTGACTTGATTCCAGGATGTTAATCACACACACACACACACACACACACACACAATCGAAAATGATAAAGAAGTATGGGTTTTTTTTCCTGAGAACCAAAAACAACAATAAATTATATGGAAATCAATCAATTTACAATCAAATCACTATGGAAACATCCATTTTGGTTTTCTTCTCGTTCAAAAGTATAAAATGGAATTTAAATCATTAACACCATCATTATACCTTTATATGATTAATATAATCAATCATTGTTTAACTTTAAAAATGAAATTTATTTTAGCAATTATCATCAACATATTGTTCATTGTATCGAACATCAACAACATTTTCATCGATGCAAAACATTGTCCAGATTTGATAAAAACTTTTGAACAGTTCAAAGTATGAAATTGTTTTATATATTTGGCCAATTTGGATTCATGTACATGATTAACATTTGTGAAATGTATTTTTTTTCTCTCTCTCTCTCTCTTGTTCCTTTTTTTTCCATTCCCTTTATAGGAAATTTTCAATAAACATTATGAAAGTATTGAAGCGGAAAATGTTGCCCGAATAAATTTCGAAAAATCATTACGTTATGTTGAAGCTAATCAAGATATGGCTTCCATTAATCACTTTGCCGATTTGGTTTGTATTTTTAGTATATATATAGTAGTGTAGTGTAGTTGTTTTTATTATTATTTAGAAAGAAAAAAAAAATCATCATCATCATCATCATCATTTCATTAATTTAATATGTTCTCTTCTTTTCTTTTCTTTTTTAAAAGTCAAATGAAGAATTTCGTAATAAATATCTGATCAAATATGATGATTTTGTTATGGATGCCAATATGCCTAAATATGTTGATCCAAAAAATTTAACACATTGTAATGAATTTTTACCAAAAAATTTTCCCAAAGAATTTGATCTAAGAAAATTGAAAACATTATCGAAAATTTATCAACAAGGTGGATGTAGTTCATGTTGGGCATTTGCAGCATTAGCAGCTGTTGAATCGGCTTATTTAGCTTCTGGACAAAATATAACAGAATTATCTATACAAGAATTAATTGATTGTCAAACTGAAAATGATGGTTGTAATGGTGGTTATATATTTTCAGCTTTAGATTATGTATTAAAACATGGTGTTTTAACTGATAAATCTTATCCATATGAAAAAATTGTATGATAAATTATCACTATAAAAAAATGAATATTAAGTATTTTTTTTTGTTTTTCCCTACATATAGACACAAAAATGTGAATTGCCAAAAATAGGCAAACGATATCATATAAAAAATTGGTGTCTTATTTACAATGGTAATCATACTGAAGAAATTAAACAAGCATTGGTCAATTATCGAACAGCAATTCCGGTACAGATTATTATCAAAAATAGTCAACCTTTTTTTCTTTACAAGTATGTATGAATATTTATCAATTCAATTGAATTCATTCATTCATTCATTTTTTTTCTTTTAAACTAGTGGAAAATCAATATTACGTGAAGATTTAGGACAAGAATTAAATGTTCATGAAGTAAATATTGTTGGTTGGGGATTAGATAACAATGGTATTGAATATTGGATTATGCGTAATAGTTGGGGTACAGGTTGGGGTGATAATGGTTATGGTTATATTGAAATGAATAAAAATCTTTTTGGTATTGAAAGTTTTCCACATGTTGTCACTATTTAGTTGATTAAAAATTTATTTATTTTTTCTCAAAAATTTTTTAATTTTATTAAATAAAAATTTTAAATCTTTTTTTAAAACAAAACGAAAGGCAACAGGTAATCAGTTGATACATATCGATTACCAATAAAAAAACGTTTCAATGATAAATATGTAACAGATGTGTGTATGTGAGACCACAGATGATAATTATCCCAATAAAATTAACAATCATCATCATCATCATCATTGACTATTAAGTGTAGGTGTGTGTTTAGTAGTGAAACAATTAAAACTTAATTTTAACAATTTCATTTTTTTTCAATGGAAATAATTAGGAAAAAAATGGAAGTGAAATAAGAAAAAAAACCTTCAATGAACAAACGAGATTTTTATCTTTTCCTTATCAAACTCTTGCTTTTTTAAATTAATCAATGAAAAATGAAAAAAAACATCATGATTTCATCATCATTCATCATTCGGCAAATTGCACCTGTTCATTCATTTGGGAAATTATCCATTGAAGGCTATTTTTGGGTGGCCGAAAAAAAATTTTTGATTCTAATTGTTTGTCTACATATCACATAATCATCATTATCATCATTATGATGTGATGACATTGTCATCAAATGTGAATTGAACAGCTGTTTGTTTGTTTGTTTGTTTGTTTCATCAAACAAAATAATAATTATTATCATTGTAATGATTATCAAACTAAACGAATTTTTCGTTTTGTTTTGAAAGGAACAACAAATCAATCGATCGAACCAAAAAAAACATATTTGATAATTTGAAAATAATAATAACAAACTAAATGAAAAGTTTTTTCATTTCTTTTCAAATTAAAATTCCAATGCAATTAATCAATGATCAATAATGATAGTTTTCGTTTGTTATTTCATTCCTGTCTAAATAATCGATTGATTGTCCACCACCACCACCACCACTATATGTAATTGACGAAAATTATGTTTGTGTGTGCTTTTACGTAATAAACGTTTGTTTGTGGATCAAGAATTATTATTATTATGAATTTTACCGTTTCAACAAAGAGAATTATTATTTGCGAATAAACCCGAAACAAAAAAAAATGAGAGAAAACTGAACAAAGGAGGAGTGGTGGTGGTGGCGGCGGTGGATAGAAAGAGAAAAAACCAAAATCCCGAATAAAATTCATCAAAAAGAATGAAGAAAAAAAAATAAATTCTGTATTTTTTTCATGACTTGAATTCTTGAATATCTTGACTATGGGTGTGACATACACATGGTAGTTTGTCTTCTGTCAAGTATTTGTGTGTGTGTGTGTCAGTATGAAACATAATTCTTTCCTTTATACTACACACACACACTGATTATTATTCGTGATGGTTATTCGTTTCATAATAATAATAATAATAAGTAATAAGTAACCCACACACACACAATAACTGAATGAAATGAAATAAAATTCTTGTTTGTATGTGGGGGGTTCATGGATGGAGGAGGGAAAAACGAAGAAGAAGAATAATCATCAGCATTGACATATAACAATCATCATCAACAACAGTCAGTGAATCTAAACAGAATTAAAATAATTTTTTTTTTTGGCTGCCAGGTTTGTATTGCGTTTGTTGTTGTCATTTTTTTTATTGTTGTTTTTGTTTTTGTTATTATTGTTTCAATCCCAATAACCATAGTGATGACCAGAATATTCTTTGTTTTCATAATTTAATGATCTTTGTTGGATTCGTAATCGGTCGATCATTTGTCATTTTTTTTCCAAATATCCACAATGAAATATAATTCCGAAAGAAAATTATCAAATCAACAACCGGAAACAAAATGAACTAAATTCACTGATCTGAATGTTTGAAACAATTCTGGAACTGAATTCTGCAACTAAAATTCTGATGATGATTTTTTTTATTGGCTTCCCATTTTTTTTTCTTGGTTAATTCATAAATGAATGATCATATAATTAATAAAGGGAAGAATTTTATTCAATAAAAGTATTTTTTTTTCCTATGTGAATTCATTCATTCATTCATTCGTTGCTCACCTCAATTTTTTACTATATAAATCTGTATAGGCAGCTCGGTAAATGTGTGTGTGTGTGTGTGTTTGTGTAGTCGGTGTATCACCTAATGTTTTACCGAAAAAAAAATATTTCGTTGTTGTGGTGATACCATTACACAAAGAATATCGTTTCGAAAAGCAAAAAAAAAAATACTGACTGTGTGTGAATATTGTCAAAGTTTTTCTATTCGAAAAATTCTACTGAAATGACTCATTTATCAACTTCCTTGAAAATTTCAAAAAAAAAAAAAAGATTTTGACCTGGACTATACTTTTACCATTTTTTTTTCGATCACATTTTTTACTGGGTGTGTTTGTATGTGGTATATGAAATATAAAGCTTGGAAGGAGGGAAACAAACAAACAAGTTTTGGAATCGAATTTTAGTTGGTCGAGTCTATTCTGGATGATTTTTTTTTTGTTATTTGGTTTAGTTTGATGATTATGTGTGTGTGTGTTTGTGCCATTCTTTCTCACGCACATTACCGTTATTATCCCAAAATATTAACCGACCGACCTATGAATGACTGACGGACGGACGTACTTGACGGGTAGGCTTCAAAACACAAACACACACACAAAACAGATACAGTGAACGAATCGAAAAAAACTAATAATAAAATACAGATCCAGAGAAGAAAAAAAAACATTTGCAACAAACCTGGTTACAGCCATGAGAGAATCGCATTAAAACTGGTGCAACAACCGAATCACGTTCAAATTGATTTGAAAGTAATGTACGAGACTTATGATGATTATTACGAAAGTTTGTCATTGTTGAATTTTGATTATGATTATGATTATTACTTGACGACAATGATGATGATGACGATGATGATGATGAAGAAGAAGATGATGTAGAAGAAGAAGAACCGACAACAACATTAGAAGAACCATTTGATGATGATGATGATGATGTTGAATATTCTCGACTTAATTGTCCAAATTGAAATAATGTTTCTTTATCATAATCGATACGTTTCTGTAGAATAGCAAGTAATATCTGTAATGAATGATTAGTACGAAAACAAGGCTCTAATGCACATAATAATGATCGATTTTTATTCAATCTATCTTGAATTTCTTCTTGTTTTAATGATAAAAGACGTTGATGTGAACTAAATGTTGGTGCTGGTCCTTGTGATAATGATCGTGTTATTGGACCACCATCTTTACCATTTTTATTTGTTGCTGATAGTTCATCAATTTTAGCAATAGCACCCTTATATTGTTGTATAACTCTTTCGAATTCTAAACGTAATGCTTCATGTAAATTCATCAAAGCATCATTTGAAGTACCAACAAGACCATGATGACCCATACCTTCAACAGCACGATCGATCAATGCTTTTTTGATTAGCAGCTGTTTACGTAGACTAGGATCGGCGATAAGAATAACCTTAGAAACAAAAACAAAAACCAAAAACAAAGAATAAAAAGAAAATACATTAATATCAACCAGCAAGCAAGAAGAAGAAAAAAAAGTCAATCGAAATTCCATGAAATAGTGAAACATGTGATTAATGACACCCATACACCATCATCATAACTAATTAACAATTCACTATATATTCTTATCATTCCAAGAAAAAAAACCCCAAATATAGCTTGAAAATCGATAGTCACACTTCAGATTTTTTTTTGTTTGCTTTCACATTTATTGATTAAATGTAAATTACCTTTCAATAATCGATTTTTTTGTTGTTTGTTGTTTGTTTGCATCCATTTATATATGATATAAATGGAATCAAATGGAATGTGCTATATGTTGCGAAATAACAAATAAATGAATAAAAATTGACTTACCTTTAAAAGTTTTTTACAAATTGAGATCGATTCTTGACTGGTTGGATGTGAATAAACATCACATATTGCAAACATACGTATCATATTTGATACAACATTTTCCGGATGTAAAAATTTGAAACCAAATGCTAATAGATCACGACCAGAAAAGAAAACTTTTGCATACAATGCATCCAATATTGGTAATGATGATGGTATTGCTTCAACAAATACATCAACAGGAAGATCAAGTACAACCGAACGAAATGTTACATATGGCAATCTTGATATAATATTTGCTGCTTCACAATATTCACCTAATTCATATAATTGTAATAAACGTCGTATGGTCATTGTTGAATTGATCGTACATTGTTGTTGTTGTTCTAGTAAAGAATTTTGTAATTGTGTAGCTGTATTAGTTGTTGTTGTTGTCGCTGTTGTTGATGATGATGATGATAATTTCATCATATTATTTGTCACAGGAGCCATTATCAATGAATTGTTTACATTTGTCATAGATTGTTGTTGTTGTTGTTTTCGTATAATCACATCAGAATTGGAAGAACATTTTCGTTGTTGTTGTTGTTGTTGATTATAATGATTATGATTATGATGATGATGATGATGATGATTCTCATTAAAACTAGCTCGATTATTAACAAATTTTACATCACAGTTATTATTGTTATTAATTTTTCTGTTTGGTAATGTTTGTGAACGAATTGTTGTTGAATTCTGTTGTTGTTGTTGTTGTTGCATTCGATTGTTATTAACACCATTGAATGATTTTCCATATTGTTGTTGTTGTTGTTGATGATATGAATTTTTATCCAAATTTCTAATAAATTGATCATCATCATCATTATCATCTTGTTGTTGTTGTTGTTGTTGACAATCCATTAATTGATGATCATCATTAACAACATGATGATGTTGATGTTGTTGTTGTTGTTGTTGATAATGATATCGATGATTATTACTATCAATCAACATCTTGTTCAAATGTGAAAAAAAAACAATTAAAAATCAATCAAGTGATTGACAAAACAAAATAACATTTTTTTTTTTTTTGTTGAAAAAAATTTAAAGGCCGCAAAAATATATTCCAATTGAAATTTTCATGAAAGAAAGGAAAATTCAAACTAAAGTGATGACTAAACATACAAATACATTTTATACACATTTGAGAATCGAGAATGAAAAATGTTATTGTATGTGTCGATGGTCTTTGGATCGATGTGCAAAAGTGTTTGTGCCTTCTGCTACAAATCAACGCGCGATCCACGACGATCCAAAAAAACAGACAGACATTTAGGAACAGACCATCATCATCATTGGAATCAATGGCTTTTTTTGTTTGTATTTGATATGAAACGCGCGCAGGTGACGTTGTTCGGAAACAAAAAACTATGCACTTTCGTATTCGTTAATGTGCAATTGGAACAAAACAAAATTTTCAGTTTTTTTTTATAGCTGTAAAGTGTACAACCATGCATACATAAAAATACAGATCAGATATATGCGAAAAAAAGCTAAATCGACTAACGAATAAGAATTTTGTTGTGTATATCCGGCCAACAATGACACCTAGCGAGTGATTGATTGAATAATCAAAGGTTTTTTTTCATTTTTACGAAAAATTTGAAATTTGTTTTGTTTTATTTTTATCCGTTTTTTTTCATTGATACAAAAAAAGTGAAAAAAAAGCAAAGAAATTTACAACAAAACAATAATAATGGTAGTTAGAATGGCCAATGTTTCTAACAGTAATAATATTTGCGATAATGTTGTTGTCGATGATGATGATGTTACTTTGATTTTCCATCCCATATTTTTTTCAGTAAAACTTTGATAGAATATTGTATCGGGTGTATTGTTGTCCGGTCTCCATCTAAATGATCCAACATTTCCTTTCTGATAAGAATAAACAAAACAAACAGAAAAAAAATCAGCCAACCGACCGATCAAAAACAAAAAAGGAAAAAAAATTATTATTTTAACCATAATGTTAATCATTATCAAATACATACTCCACAATATAATCGTAATGTTTTACGATAATCTTCAATTGAATAAATAAATGCTGGATCAACACGAGAACTTTCAATCAATTCACAATAACGACCAGTTCCTGGTTGTGGATCAGCTATACCATCATGAAATCTAATTCCAGCATATATATGATGATTTATGGAAAAATTATTTGGATTACCACCTTCACGTGAATCAGTAATATAAAATGGATGATAATGTTTTTTATCTGTACGATTATCACCGGTTTCAATTAAAAATGTATAATCATGACCACGAACAACATGTAATTCTGGTATGAGTAAATCATTTATCCAGAATGCAATACCAGGAGATTCTTGGCCAGTGATCGATGTATAACCTTGTTGTGCATTACCAGCTGGTCCAATTACAACATGAAATACGTGATTATTGGTCGTTTTTATTATGGCAGGTTTCCATGGTCGAAGTTCATAAATTATTTCCGTCTCTGAAACCTGTGAATTTGCAATTGTGTTGAAAATATTTGCCGGTTCGTTGATCACTTTATCCCATAAATTTTCATAACAATTTCGTTTAGGATTTTTACGGCCAAAATTAACAATAGTCATTGGACGATATTTGGATTGATGATATTTTGTATTAACTGCAACAGTATGATAACTTGGATTTTTATGCGTATCCAATGTACCGATTGCTGCTACAATTGGATTCGGATCATGTATTAAAAATGGTAGATCATTTTGATGATCACGCATTACAGATATTGAACGACGAAATGTAACTTTAATCAATCCATCAATGTAACTGGACATTAACAATTCCAGATCATTGTTACCGCCAACAAGCGTATCCGGACAAACACCAATTCCTGTTTGTAAATTACATTGAGTTTTGCCCGTTACAGTGAAATCTTCCAGAACAACTTTATTGCTACAAATAATAATAATAATAATAAACAGAAAGAACAGAAATTGAAAAAATAAATGGATGGATGGATGGATGGATTTTGTTTGCATATTAGAATTTTGTTTTTAATACTGTAATGTTTTTTTTGTTATTTTCTTTACCTGTCAGCATCATAATAGGTAACAAATACATCGGAACCAATCATTTTACTTTGTTTAAATGAACCACTGGGGAGAAATCAAATTACAATCAGAAGAAAAAAAACGAAAACAAAACAACAACATCAAAAGTGTTCATTTAATAAATAAACGTTAACTTTTTCTTTTTTTTCATACCTCAATCCAAATGCAGCATATTGATTTGATGCTTTTATGGTTTATGTTAAAAGTTGTATCATTTTTTTGTTGTTGTTGTTGTTGTTGTTTATAAATAACATTCAAGTTTAAAAATTATTGAAAAAAAATTTAAAATGTGGTACCCAATAGACTTTCCATCACAGATAACATCTATTGGTCTTTTAAAAGAAATAAAAAATTCTTCTTACCAATTCTAGCTTCAAGTTGTATGTAAATATCTGGATGACGAATTTCCCATGAAATATGCATCAATCCGGGTAATATTTGTTCACAATTGGAAAATAATGTAACCTAATTTTTTTTTTGTAAGAAACGATTATATTATCATCATTTTTGTTTTTGATTCAATTATTCTCTCTTTAAACATCAATTTTTTCATCATCATTATTATGCTTACATAAGTTAACATGAATGCCATACTTGGTGGTATATTTAAATTTTTTTTATCAATATGAATATAACCATAACATTTATTATGTTCAGGATCATATATAGCAAACCAATCGATATTATTTATTAAGCTCAAATCACGAGGTAATCGTAATATTATATCTTCATTATAATAGTTACGTAATTTTGAAAAGCTATAAATTATAAATCAATCATTTCAAGGTTCAAATTATAATGAATGAATGAATGAATGAATGAACAAACCTTGCATGTTCATCGGGTATTTTGATTCCAAAAGAATTTGGTATCGCACCGTAACCGACAAAAAAACCACAACGTAAACAATTAATATTGTAATGAAATTTTCTATGAAAGTAACCAAAAAACACACAAATTGTATACATTTTTCGAAACGAAAAAAAAGCTCTTTAAAGATCTACCTGATCAAAATTGTTTTATCATCGATGGCGAAAATATTTTTAGCTTTTACCGAATCTTTTGTATTTATTAATGGTCCTAAACTTTTTAGTTCAGGTACGGCAATCGTTTTAACAATACGTATTTCGGCAAGACTTTTCTGTTTTTGTTTTTTTTGACAAATAATGATTAAGAATTCAAAAGAAAATTCAAAAAAAAAAATGTTTACCAAAAGTCTTTTACTCCATAATGATATCCAGCGAATTTTATCGGCAGAAATTCCTTTCGGTAAGGTAAGTAAAATGTTTTGATTTCGATAACGTCCCAGTTGATGAAATCTTTTCAATGTGAAAATATTTTCCAGTTACATTAGTAACAGTCGGAAAATGAATGAATTACTTGTTAATTACTTACCTTCCCAACTCATCAGGTATAATGATTCCATCTGTATTCGATCTAATATTCGGATCATTATGGCCACCAACTTTGAAATAAACATCTTTTTTAAAAAATCATAAAAAAATGTCATGTTTAATTACGGCAACAAAATATTTCAAATATTTGAAATTTGAGAATTGAAATTTTCAAAATTGTCAAAATAAAAATCATCAAAATAGAGTGAAACAAACAAAACAAAACCAAACAGCAACAGACTTGATTCTTGACAAAGAATTTCACAATCACCAACCACAAACACAACAATAAGATTATTATTGTTACAGGATTTTTTCCCGAAAAGAAATTATCATAAAAATTCATTCCGAAAGGTAGATCAAGAAAAAATGAATGGAATGAAAGAAAGAAGAGATTTTGCTTCCGTATCATAAATTGACCATGTGTGTGTGAAAAGTATGTTGTTCGGACAAGGCCAAAAACATTAGGCAAAATCATTATATTCAAACGAAAAAAAATGGTAAAGATATTTAGCTTCAAATAAAAAACATACACACACACACAAAAACATAAACCCAGACTTTTTTCTGAATGACAAGCTATAGCGAGAAAACTGTCTATATTGGTCAAACATTATGCAAATTAAACATTTGCTGTTTTATTTCGTTCCCCTTCAACTATTTGTTTGGTATTTTTCGCTATTTTTTGTTCGGACAATGTTGTCCAATTGACTTTGTGTGTTTTAGGGAAAGCAATCGACCAAAAGATTATTCTCATATTACCACCGTTACATATAATACACTTACAATCGACTGCTAACCATGAAACTCTCTTCTTTTGTTTGTTTGTTTGTTTGTAGAATGTGTTTGTATTATATATTGAACAATTATATTTTGGTTGATCAAATTAAGTGCAATGAAAAAAAAGGAAAGAAAAATTTATATAGTGTGTATCGTTTACCTGATTCTTGACCATTAAAACTAAAATTGTAAAGAAATAATGTATGTTTATTGACGAAATAAACATCACCGGTAATAATATTATTCCAATTATGATTAAATGATCCAACATATTGACCAAAATATCGATTATTTCCATTATCTATTATCATCATTCGGCAATATTTTGTAGGGGAATGAAAATGAAAAGGTTTTTTTCAAAAATTCAACAATTTGAAAACGCAAAAACTAAACAAACATTACCCAATGATGATGCTATTTCAAATAGTAGCCAAGAAAATATGAAAAAAATTATCAGAATGCAAGAATGAATAAATCGGTATTTCATTATGAAAAAAAAAACGATAAATTTTCTTTATAAATAAAATTTTTAAATTTATTTTATCATTTAAAAATTTATTCTTGATGATTTATGAATAATCCAAATGAATTGTGATATGCTTAATATAAACAAATTATGAAAATTAAGTTAATTGATAATGATGAATTCTTTGTTTTTTTTCGTCAATAAAATGAATGATAAAAATGAGTGAAGAGTTTATGTATGAATGAAAGTTGTAGAATGTTGTCTGTTGAATAAATGTGTTTTTTAAATAAAAATTCCATCACAAATTATCATTATGCAAAAGTTTGTCAGAAAATATACATAGGATTTAGAAATTTTTTCATATTTGTTTCGTTGGTTGAAAAAGAAAATTACAAAAATCAATATTTACTTGATTCACACAAAAATAAAGAAAAAAATTTCTGCAATTCTTACATCACCATACACCCACCACAAGCAAGCATCCCACGAAAGTGTTGAAAAATGTAAAATATTTACACAATTAAAAAACAAAACAAAACGTAACCAGAATATTCGACAACAAACAAAACTATTGATGAAATTGTAAACGATTATTCTTTGTGTTTTTTGTTTGTAAATGATGAATGAATGAAACTTGGAAAAGCAAATAACCTGCCTGAAAATGATCAATGATCAGAGCTAAAAGAAAAACATTTCAACTTTTCAATCAGAAAGTAAGCACACATTTGGAACTTTGGAAAAGGAAGAAATAAAAAGAGTCAATCATATTAAATGTGATTGAGAAAAATAATGAATTTTGAATATATTTTTTTTCAAGTGTATATGACAGTTGTTGTTGACATTCGCCACCTACGCGATATCGGTCAATTGTGAAATAATTTTTTCTTTCTTTTTCCCAATAATAATGTTCTAGCTCTGCTCCATTAAGATACCGGGTGTTCATTTTTTCGATTTTTCATGGATCGCCCGACGATCCGAATCATTTCCTTTGAAAACAATATCATGTGTGCGCGTTCTGGTGAATGGTTTCATTGGACTGGAACTACACATTGGTTCTCAGTAAACTCTACATCGATCAAGTCGGATATAATTTTTTTGTCATATCGGTTATTTTGTTGTTGTTGTGGTTATGTAATAATACAATGGTCAGACTAGTGTATGATATATTAATGATGTTGATGATGATGATGATGATGATTTTGTCGTTAAAAGAAAAAAACTGCTTAATATCACATTTATGTTCGAATAATAATACTCTTCGAGAAATATTCTTGTCGTCGGTTTGTGTGATCACAATGAAGAAAAAAAATACCTAGTTCCAATAATTTAAATTGATTGATTTTTTTTTCTCAACAATTTTCATTTGTTTCTTGTTGCGATATAATCATAGCAGCAGTAGCAGCAGCAGCAGATGATGATTTTGTTGGATGATTTTCCAATTTTCGACATAGAAAATCAAAATCATAACATTTGTTGATTGTTATAGATGCCGGTTTTGTTGTTGTTGTTGTTTGTGGTATGACCATCAATGATGTTGTTGTGTCTTTGTTGTGTTGAGGTATCATTGTTAGATCATCTCCATTCATATAAATACGATTATGATGAATAAGTGGTGGTGGTGTTGTTGGATCGTTAGGATAACCAATCGTTACATTAGTTGATGTTGTTGTGTAATCATCCAATTCTTTAGTCATTTTGTTATTTTCTTGTTGTTGAAATAATGTTGATGATTGTTCACGTAATAATGTTTCACGTAATGCATTTCCATTGATATAATGATGATTTGAACCGGCAAATCTTGATGTATTCATATTGAACCATTTACCCGATAATGATGAATCATTATCATTAATTGTATCGGTTAAACCTAATGCTGATATTGGAAAATTCATTGCTGCTGAAGCATGCCAATTATTATATCGATGTTCAATATCATTATTATCATCGTTATAATCATCATCATCATCTCTTTTTCTAAGTCTATCATTATCATATTCTGATGTGGCAGCAATAGTCGATTCGTTTGTTTCATCTTCAATGTTATCTTCTTCAGAACTTGATGCTGAAGAATGAACATCAACACCTGGGAAATGAAGTGTAGCATATTCCTATATGAATTCATTTGGTTAAAAAGTTAAAATTTTAAATTATCAATTTTTTCAAAACTATTTTGATCAAAGATTATCACATACTCTGTTTGAATAGGAATATTCTATGTTTTCAATTTCTTTAACTAGCTGTGCAAAACTAGGGCGTTCATTTGGCTGTTTATGCCAACATCGTCGCATAATGGCATAGATTTGTTCATCCGAATTGATTGGCTGTTCCATACGATATCCACTTTCTAAACGTTTCCATAGTTCATGAACATTTATACCCGGGTATGGTGTTCGTCCTAATGTCATTATCTCCCATAATAGTATGCCAAAACTCCAAACATCTGAATGTGTTGTATACATTTGATTTTCTAACGATTCGATAGCCATCCATTTAATAGGCAGACGACCATTCGTTGTTTTACGATAATAATCACCTTGTATTCGTCTTGCCAAACCAAAGTCAGCAATTTTAAGAATATTATTTTCACAAACAAGAACATTACGAGCTGCTAAATCACGATGTACACATCTTTTGGATGATAAATATTCCATACCACGAGCAATCTAAAACATTCAAAAACAAAAACGAAACAAAAAAAAAGAAACAACAACAATGATGATTATGATGATGATTCACCATATAACCATTAATTTAAAATTGTTATTGAAAAAAAAACATTCGAATTTCAACAAACCTGATATCCAAAATTGACTAAATCTAAAAATGTCAATGATGAAAATGATTTTAGCTGCAATTTTTGTTGTTGATGTTGAAACATTTCAGGAACATAATGAAATTCTTTTTGTTCATTGATATTGTTATTCTGTTGTTGTTGTTGTTGTTTGAATGTAATCATTTCTTCTCGTTTTTTACGTAGAAAATCCCTAAGATTTCCGTAAGGTGCATACTCGACAACTACCCATAATGGTCCTAAAAATAATAATAGAAAACATTATCCATAGGGATTATTGAATTTGAAACATATTAAAATCGAACGAAAACAACAAACATAAAAATAAATAAATAAATAAATAAATAATACCATTCTGTGTACAGCAACCAATCAAATTGATTATATTTCGATGTTTTCCAATACGTTTCATCACTTCTAATTCAGAAATCAGATTAATCATTTCATCATCGGAATGTCCTTCTTTTAACATCTTGACAGCCACTTCAGTTTTATAAATTGAATTTGACAATTCTCCTTTGACAACCGTACCGAATTCACCTTCGCCCAATTTTTCTTTCCAATAAATTGTAACACTTGATGATGATGATGATGATATTGACAAATTATAAAAAAAAAGATTTGTTTTTTGTTAAAATAATTTTTCCAATTTATAATAATTGAATTGTTTTGATTTGATTTGTTTTGAACTTACTTGTTACGATCCATTTCCCATTCTTTATCCAATGGTATTTCATATTCTGTCATACCAGATTTTTTTCCAATATCCAAATCATTCGTATCAATCAAAATATGTTCACAATCAATTTTAACTAATGGTGAAAACATATCAAATGATCCTCCTTTACCATCCAATATTCGATTATTATCAAATTCATTATGATTAATCATCATTGATGATGATAATGTTGGATCACCATTACTACCACCACCATTTGTTGATAAATCATATGACAATGGATTTTCAAGTATAATTTTCTTTTTGATTATAAAACTTTTCTGTGCTATAATCGTTATTTTTTTATTTGTTTGTAAACGGCTATTGTATAGGATATAGGTGACCAATATTGTTGCCAATAATATTAATAAAACAACTACCCATAACATGTGGTGTGCATATGGTACAAATGAAAATGACTCTACAGTTGATATCAAAAGGGAAAGAAGAAAAATAAACGAACAAATGAATGGAATGCAATGCAATGAATGAATAGAAAGAAAAAAACATGACCAGAAACAAAATTGAATTGAAATTTGATTGAAGAAAAATTACATCAATAGTTTTTTTTAATATCTAATCTCTTTGTCCCCTGTATATAGTTTTCCTTTTATTGAATAACCGAAAATTGGATTTGACCTTTTACCAATTGATGATTCATATAGTGATTCTTCAGAAGAAAAAAAACAATTCAAAACTCCTGATACAGTATGTTTTTGCTTTATTTGAGAATGTTCAATAAGCAAAAAAAACAACTAAAACTAACTATGTATTTTTGTTGCTTTTCTTTTCTCATTTATGATGTTTAGCTGTTAATATTATCATTATTACTGGATTCTTCTAACATTATGTGTATGTATGTTCTTGCCCAATCGTTTTACATTGGTGATGATGTTCAATCGAAACAAAACAAAAAAATTTCTGTTGCATGAATCTATTGAACATCATCATCATCAAACAAAGCATCACATGAACACAACATCAAAAATCACGGATGACTATTATGTAAACTGTGTGTGTATATATGTTTAATTTATATAAATGTTCTTTTTGGACAAAAGAGAGGGAAAAAACAACCAAACAAAAAACTGAAAACGATTTTTTTCTTCTATAAATTGTTATTGTTGATCGTCATTTTTTGGTGAGGATTATATTGCCAATATGTGTGCCGAATATGGTTCCAATCCAGTTTTTTTTTTGTTGTTGTTGCCTGACTACATTAATACGATTAATGATTACACAAACACACATAAATATATTGACTGGATAAGCAAAAAACAAAAACAGACAGAATTTTTTTTTCAATCATCATCATTAAATGTAAACATAAACAAAACAAAAAATGAAATCATTTTGAATGAATTCGATTTACATATGTTTACAAGTGAAAGAAAGAAAAATCAAACAAACTCTAATGTAATGATAATGAATGTAATCTTTTTTCATAATAGTTGATCAGGAGGGGGGAACACAAGAAAAAACTTTTGTAATTGTATTCGCGATTTGCAAAAAAGACAAGAACCAAAAACACAAAATGAAAAGAAAAATGTATTTATTTACCTGAAACAACGTTGAGTAAGAAATAACGTTGAATAGTTCCAAAAGGATTGCTGACAACGCATGTATAATTTCCGCTATCATCTTTACTAACATTTGTTAGATTCAGCATAAGCGATTTTCCCTTTAAAAATTTTAATTTGATGATTAATTGATTTATAATTAATAAATAGCAATTTTTTCAAAATAAACATCGATGAAAAAAAGCTGATTATTCATTCTCATTATTATTTATATTAAAATTATGCTTACATTATTAATTTTGTCTGGATCTTTATCTGGATAAACACGAAACCAGCTAAAATTAGCAATCACTGCTGAACGATAACGACAATCAAATGTTACATTATCACCAACCAAAACTGTATTGTTAATCTTGACATTTAAATTAGTTAATACGGGTGGATGTCTTATTGAATCTAAAAAAAATATTTAATTAACCAAATGATATAATTTCAATATCATCTTATTGTTGTTGAATAACTTACAATGTACACGTATATTAAATGTAAAATTATAATGACCATATGGATTCTTTACATCACATGTATAATTACCAGCATCAGATTGGCCAATATTTTCCAAATCTAATTTCCATCGATCAATTTTCATCTTTATTTTTTTTTACAATGACAAATGAATCAACAGGTTTTTTTTGGAAAAAAAACGAAACTTACATTTTCACCATTATCACGTAAATAACCTTTCAGTATATTTGATCCTTTAAACCAACGATATTTAGTATTATTTTTATGGCCACGAATTGGACAACGAAGTTTAACTAAATAACCGGATTGTTCTTCTAATTGCATAAACGATGGAAATTCGCTTACATTATATACATGAAATTCTTCACCATCATTTTCGATAAATTTTAGTTCAGCTTTTATATTGGGGTTTGCGAAAAAAAAAACAAAGACAAGGTAATTTACTAGGTATTTCATTTATGATATTGATAAACTTACAATCCAATGGCAAACCTTCATATTCTTCATCATCTAAATCTTTATAATCATCTTCACCTTTATCATCTTCATAATCATCATTACTTTCATTATGAAAATCATTATTAAAAAGCCATGATTCGACACCGGCATCAAAATTTCTATCAACTACCGTATGATTTATTATTTTATTTTGAATCAATGAATCATCGATTGATTTTTCTGCTCTCTGATACAGTTGAGCCGTTATTGGTTGTAAATGATCATCATCATTTTGATTTGGTTGTATAATTTTTAATTCATATTGAAATGTTTCATTTTTTGATATTAATGTTTGATCAGTAGAATTGATAGCCCAAACAGAACAAAAATAAATTCCCATATCATGTTCATTTAGATGTTTAATTTTCATTAAACTAGCTTCATCATTATTATTATCCGATTGAAAACGATATCGTTCATTAATACCAATTAATTTTCTATCTTTTTCAATTGGACCTAACCATTGACCATTATCACGATACCATGATCGTTTTAATTGTAAATTTTTTGATTTATTCAAATGATGATAATGATGATGGTGATGATTTTTTTCATCAATAAAATCAACACGACAATTGAATGTTATATTTTGATATAATTCACGAATATAATGATTTGTAGATCGATTCTTTTGTTGTCGTATAAGAATAATTGCTCTATCTAAATTATAGGTAATGAAACGGAACCATTGTGATTGTGGAATAGAAGAAAAAAGACAAAATCAAATATCAAGTTTCACATAATATACCAATAAAGAAAGTGTGAAAGAAATTAAAATCAATATAGAATAAACATATGTTGGTCAGCGAATAAAAATGACCTAAATGAAACACACACACACACACACTTGGTGACATTCACCAAAAAAAAAACTTTCAAGGTTTTCTAATTTCCAAATCGAAATTTTCTTTTTTTCCCCTTTTACATATGTAGGAAATACTACTTCAATGGATTTTTTCGTGTAGCCAAATTGATCATTATTCAATAATGAAGACCAACAACAAAAACGAAATATAAAAGAATTACTTACTTTTTCCATTAGCAACGGAAACCGGATGCGAATTCAATGACGATGATGATGAAGATGAAGATGATGATGATACAATAATTATAATGAGGATGATTATTGCATCGATATGCAATCTTAAATAAGCCATTATTGATGAGTAGAAAATTCTTGATGGGCACCGGAAAAAAAAAGATTTTCTTTTTTCACTTATATTATTCAAATAATCAAGAATGATGATGTCCAATGAAGGAAAATTGTCCAAAAATTGTATTGAACTTTTGCTTATTATGGTCAACAATTATTGAATGCTGTTAATATACAATTATACGATGATTGTTAATATGAATTCTAATTCAATTCACGACAACAAGCAGCCATTATTAACCATTTGGTCAGATTGAATATTGAATTTGTAAGGATTCGTTTTTGGTATTTGCAGCTAAAGAGAGTGTCCTGCTATATGGACAATGTCAATGAAGATGAGACAATTTTTTTTGTTGAAAATGTCACCATTTGAAAATCATCAAAAATTGACAATCACCGGCACACACACACCACACCAGATAGACACAGGGTACAACAACAACAACATGGGTGCTATTGAAAAATGTTTAAATTCGTTTTTTTTCTGCTTTGGCTTTCTTTAAATTTATATTTTTTCAAAAGAAAATGATTGGTTGGTTGGTGGTGGTATAGTTTTGTTTTGTTTGATTGGTTGGTCGACGTTGTCGAATTCATTCAGTTCCAAATAATGTAAGGGAGAAAGATAGAAAATGCAAAAAAAAAACAAATTCATTCATCTAGTCTAAGAAAAAAAAATTAAGAAAAGCAAAATTAGTGAATGAAGATGAAACACTCACACAATACTGCAACACTGTGTGATGTGTGTCTATGTAAAAAAAGACATTTTTTTTTTCTTTACCCAAATGAAGTTTCAATGTTTTTTACACAAACAGAGACACAAAGATCTAATATATAAAACTGTAAATGAAAAAACAAACAAACAAACATGAAGAAGAAAAAAATAAAAAACTTTAGATGATCTTTCTGATCATCATCATCATTCATTCATTCATTTATTCACACATCTGTAGACCATATGGTCGCAATAAATCGATTACAAGTAATGTTGGTTTGGTTTGGTTTGGTTTGAATTGTAAAAGATTTTTTTTTTAAGACGGACCAGATATCTACGGATCGGAAGATAATTTAGTGTTAATGGTTTTTTTTAAAGAAATGATGGTCAAAGATTTAACCAAACAAAAAACGGAAACAAAAGAAACAAAGAAGAAGAGTGTCAAGGCACGCGTCAAAAATAAGGTTCAATTTTTTTTCCAAAAAAAGTTTCTTAATAAAATATTTATTTGAATAACATTCAGATGACACGTGCCACATGATGATGATGATGATGACATTGATGGCGAAAAAAAAACCAAAGATGTTGATGATTGTATGGTTTGATTATTTTCTTCCAGTGTAGCATTTGAGATTCAAAAACAAAAAACAAAATGTTTCCGGTCCTACATGTGTTGTGAATAAAAAAGGAAAGAAAAGAAGAAACATTCAACAAGTCAGATGATGAAGATTTTCAAAAAAAAATTCGATTAAAATATTTCGATTTTGAAGAAGAATTTAAACAGAATTTGAAAGTTTGATTCTGTTTATTACCAGTTTAGAAATGCGAAATTGTTTGTTTTTTGCAATCACAGAAAAAAAACTAAACGAAACCAAACGAAAAAAAGGTCTGTTTTATTTCAATGTTTGAATGTTTTTTTTCCTTCTTCATTTTCATTGAATTTCATTGCCGATTATCATCGAGATTTACATGGTCGTTGTTGATGATGAAAATGTAAATGTAATGTGTGTGTGTATGATGAATACGGCGTATTGATATGTAAATCGAATTCTGTTTCTGTTTTTTTTTTTTTTTTTTTGATTTTTTGATTCTCGCTTTGAAAAAAAAATTTCACATCAGCACACATTTAAATAGTGAAAATAGAAAAACAAATTTTCAAATAAACAATTTTCGGATGAGAATTTTTATTTTCTCTTTTCATTCTATAAATGTGAGTGAGAAAAAAAAATTCTGTTCAAGAATCTGCTGAGTGTGTGTGTGTGTGTGGGTGGGTGGGTGAGCATCATTCATTCGTTTCACAAAATGAATGAATACACTGACTTTTGAACTAATGATGCACATCACAAAAGTAGCGGAATGGATTTTTTTTTCGTCATCAAATAAAAAAAATGAAAATTTTAATTATGATGAACCGGATTCATTCGGAATTTTCACACGAAACAAAGAAAAAAGCAAAAAAATGAAATGAGAAAATCATAAAAAAGGGAAAAAATGATCAAATTTGGAATTACACTTATGATGCAATATGCAGATAGAATTTATTATTCATAAATGACAAATCACAACGGATCTAATCGAACACTCACACACACACACACATAACATCAATTAAATCATCATCACCCATCACCATTTTTGATCAGAAAAAAAAGAAGAAGTAACATTCAAAAATCAAAGCAAGGCGAAACAAAAAAAAATATCAAAACATATTTTAGATCAACAATCATTCATCATCATCGATTTCATATTTAAAATCAAAAATGAAAATAAATCAAAATCGATGATGCAATTGGATAATAATGATGATGATGATCTTTGAAATTTTCAAATGGTAACACACAGCAACAGTAAATTTTTGTTTTTGTTGTTGTTGTTGTTGTCAGATACGTATATGCAAAAATTCTTCATTTTTTCTGTTCTGTATTTGTTTTGGTTAATTTTTTTTGTTGAAAATCGAAAACACCAGTGTCTGTGTTTCTGACGGCGCCATACAGTGCCTATCTCGATTTGTTTGCAGAAAAGAAAATCTTCAAATACACACCCCTTTTTTTTCCAGAAAAAAAAAACCATATACCTCTCAGTGTAAGTATGGCATTATTTTTGTTTTACAATGCGATTCCGATTCCGTCGTCCGTTCGAAAAGTGCGGTTTTTACAACAACACAAAAACAAGACAAAACGCAAAAGTAATGAAAAATTCCTATATTTTTAACATAACATTTTTTTTTCAACAAGTGAATGCAAAAAAAAACATCATGATCATCTAGCCATGCAGACATTTTATTTTTGGTTATATATTTTTTTTCCGTTTTTTCTCATCATTTGATCTATATAATGTTTGGCATCGACAGAAAGAAAAAACACATACAGTTGAAACGGAAAAAAAATAGTATTATTTTGGCAAAAACACACCGAGGCAACAGGAGTTTATTTTTAGTTTTTGTCGTTTTTTTTATATTTTATTTTATTTTATATTTTCTTTTACTTCTTTTACACAATTCAGTTTATTATTATTATTATTATAAATCTATATACAACTATTAAATCATTGCTAAAGTGTGTGTGTGTGTGTATGTTATTGGTCTGAAGAATCATCATCATTATCCATTGATGTTTATGTGAAAAAAATAGGAAGAATATATTTGTTGTTGTTGATGTTGTTGATGATGAGGATGATGATAAAAACGGATGATGATGCGGATTTTGAATTTATTTTATATAACAAAATCTTCATTTTTCAACCACCTCTCTTCTTTCCCTCCGTTTATTGGTAGTTGAATATCATCATCAGCATTGTTGTTCATTCAAAATGATGATGTTATAAATTTTTTTTGAAAATAAAACGGAAGAACATCATAAATTTTGATTGTCAGAAATTTTTTTTTTGTTTCGTTTGGTGGTTTTATATTCTTCGTTGGATAATTCAAAATGATAATAAACACAATTCTCTTTATTCATTCATTCATTCATTCATTGTTGTCGAAAGATAATCTTTGATAGATTTTTTTTTATTATAAAATGTATTTGTTTTCATCATCATCATTAACATGACATTCTTGCCACTATTTTTCATTGATGTTTGAATAAGATTTAAAGAATTGTCTTTTTTTTCTCTCTCCACTTTTTTACATTGCCAGACAGGAAATGTGGTATGAGAGAAAAAAACTGTTTTCATTGTTCGTATGGGATAATTATGGCCGGCAATGAATTTTTTTTAAAGTTATTTTTAAAACAAAAATCAAAATATAAAAAAAAATAATGTGTGATATAAGATATACAAAACAAAATTCGATGAGAAACTTAACAATAATTAAGACAACAAACATTTTGATGATGATGATGATGATGATGATATATAGTGAACAATAATTTGAAACAAATGTTAATCTTTTTTTATTCAGTTTTTTTTCTATAGGATTATTTGGTTGGATCCAGGCTACAAGGACGATGAAATATTTGTCCATGTTCACGAATCCAAAAATTGGCAACTAGTTTATAATAAATAAATGAAAATAATAAGATATTAAGCAACAAATAAATAAATATTACCCCATTTTTCTCCAATCAAAACTGGACATGCACCATGTATTGTATCGATAATTCCTTCACCATTACGTAATAGATTATACCAAAAAATGGCAGCTCCCTTAACCGGATTCACACGAATACCAAGCCGGGTGAAAACTGTCGAACCACCAACTTCAACATCAGAAAGCTATTTTATTTATATAATAATAAATAAAATGTACGATTCATGTTGTTGTGTTGATTAGAAAAAAAACATCCATTGTTTTGAAAATAAATACACACAGCGAGAATTACAATGATGATGGATGTAAAGTATAATATTAATAATAGCGATTATAATGAGAAAAACAACAATGAAAAGAAAAAAAGATGGAAGAAAAATTATTTTCGGATAATGATGACTAAGAAACAAACCGAGAAAAAACAATGAAATAATTGATTATACATACATAGAACATAAATGTTGCCATACGATCGCCGGCATATTGATCTTTTTCCGAAATGTTTGTACGTTGGCTTTCAGGCTTATCCTTAATAAGATAATCATAATGTGGAACATAATGACCGCCAATACCATAATTAGCAATCTGTACTAGTTCACAATCACTTTTGTTCATATTCACTGAAAGTCCGGTTATAGCTTCAATACGACGATTTAATCGACCAATTAATGGTTCGGTAGCTTCGGTAAACCAAGCAGTTTGTGATACACGTACGGTCGATATTTCATTATCTTTTTCATCGGTCAATACTCGTGCTCGAGTTAACTGGTATCAGGAAAAAAAACATCATTTTGTTAGGTCATGAAATTTCAATCAAACACTAATACGTAAATCATGATATGTCAATATAATAATAAACTTACCATTGGCATTGATAATTCTTTGATCATTGCAATCTCTTTATCACTGATAACATCATAATACATTGCTATAAATGGTTCACTATTGAATTGTTCCACTTTTAATGGTCTTAATATTAGATATGGATGTCCATTGTTGGTTGAATAATAACATCGTTGTACTGATGCTCGCCGCTTTGATTCAGTTTTCTAAGTTTTTTTTTGATGTGAATAAAAAAGAAACAAAATTTTCATCCCAAAAAATAATGATTTTTTTCATTTATACTTACATTCATTGGAAACTCTTCACCACGACAAAGCATCTGATAATGTTTATAATCTAAATTATCACCTTCGACTACACGAAGTTTATCCGAATGTCGTGGATAATTTTGTTCTCGCAATTCATCGTCTAATCGCTCGATCTATGAATGCATGAATGAATCATTCTAAAAAAATAGGTTATCTTTTAGTACAGGAAACTTACGTATTCGATAGCCAATTGATAAAATGGAATAATTTCATCTACCGATGCTGTACGATTACCTTCGTGATATGCACGCACTAATGCTTCATCGAACCATTCTAATGAATGGCCATAATAGCCATGATTGAATGCATTTTTACCCAAATAAAGACAATCGCGTGCTAACCAAATTGAATGCAACAATTACAATTTCGTTATTAGAAAATTTCCTGGTAATATTATCCTGTATAAAAACATTTACCTGATAATCGTATGGAAGAATCTTTACCCATAATATAACCATCAGCTAAATCGGTTAAACTTAGATTATAAGTATCTTGTAAACGAATCAATGCCAATGCAGCACCATTTAAATCTTCTTGTTTCGGCAATAACATACTATAGCTAGTCATTAATCGATCTACTTCTTGCCATTCATCATCTTTTTTTACTGTTTTAACAATTTTATTCCAATTAATTGTTAAACGTTTAACTAATTGATATGCCTGTAATGGATTATCCATTAAATTATCTGCATAAGTTCCGGCAAATTGTTTCTGTCCAGCTGAATAGGCAAATTCACTTAGATATCTGAATTCATTCAAATATCGCACATAATAATAGTTAATGTTTACTATTTACAATTCAAAATTGAATTTCATTTCTACATACATTTTAATCTGATTTGTTAATTCTTCTAAATTTTCCATATATAATGTTAAGGAAGTGACAAGATGTCGTTCACTATTGCCAATTCAACCAGAACATAAAAGATGATTGACATAAAATTATCACAATTAAATAGAGAGGGAGAGAGAAAAAAAGTAAAGATTATAAATAGTATCAACAACAAAAAAAAGAAAATAAAATTGAAAATTTATTATCGATTAGAGGAAAAAAATAATGTTATGTGCGTGCGTGTTTGTCTCCACGATAAAGTCATGATTGTAATTGTGATTGTGAATGAGGAAAAGAAAAATAACTTACAGGTGCATTAAACTTTGAATGGTAGCCGTTGAACTAAAGATATCACAATTAACCATTGATATTCTATCATATTGTAAAAATAGACAAGACAATATGATTATGGATAAAATTTTATTATTATTATTATTATTATAGTTGCCATTTATTAATGGTAATGATGAACATATAAATTTTCGATGACAATAATTTGATTGTCGTCGTCGTCGTTGATTGATTAAAAATTGAACATAATGATCATTCATGATGAGATTTTAATTATTATAATAATTATATTTGAATTCAAAAAAAAAGTAGAAATTTGAAGTAATAATATGAAATCTGATTATCACAATAAGATTATTTTTTTCTTCTCAAAATGTTTATCACAACTTGTTGCTCACAATATTGATGAATGAATGAATGAATGAATGAATGAATGGATGATCACATTTTTCTTTTCTTCTTTTTCAACATTTAAACAGTTTGAAAATGACAATACAATGATTCTTGAATTTTTGTTGTTGTTGTTGAAATTAATTAATATTTTGAATAGGAAATGAAAAATACACAAATTCGTTTGTTTGTTTTTGATGGATTTTGAATGGACAGATGTTGTCAGAAACAAACAAACACACAAATCCTTTTTTTCCGATCAATATAAAAAATGATGATGATTTATTTGATTGCTGTGTTGGTTTTTCGTTTTGGGATTTATGGTCAGATGATGGTGATGATGAAAAATAAAAGAAAAATGGAAAAAAAATTAATTTTTGTTTTTCTTGTTAAATGACCAAGGCTGGAAGTATTTGAAAATCTTTGAATTTTTATTTATATTTTCGTGATAAAATCCTTAGATGTTTTCTTTTTTTTCCTTTCTTATTCAATAATTTATTACGAATGAATTTACGCGATTATGGTCATGATGATGACCGACTAAATAATAATGATGTTTTTTTTCCTTGGATAAGCAAAAAAAAAGAAGAAAAATTCAATTGTAATGCTAATCATTTTCATTAGTAATCTTTAAGAAAGTAAATTCAACCAAAACAACAAAAAAAAAGTATGTCAAAGTTATAATCAATAAGGATTGATTGAACAATAATAAATATTGAATAAAAAGAATCAGATTGAACTACATTATGTTGTTTTATTTTTGTAATAATCGATCAGTATACACACAAATAGGTAATTTTTTTTCAAAAAAAAAAAAAAAATAAATCGATCGACCAATTTTTTGTTGTTGTTCAACTTTTTCTTTTTGTTCACTTGTTACATCAAGATAGTTTTGGCCAAAGAAGCAAAAAAAAAAATAAAAAGATTATAGGTCAAATCGATAATCGAATGATAAACAATGATGATTATGATTGGTTTAGTTTAGGTTTAGGTTTGAATACAACTTTTAACTGATTTTTGATGATTTATTGGGTGACCGATTTTTTTAAATATCCGGCCGATGATCTAGTTTTTTTTGTTATTATTTTGTTGATTTTGTTTGATTTCATTATCATTCGATTAGCAAATTTTGAAAAAAAAGTGTTTGTTTTTCTGAAAAACTTACCTTGAATGAATTGGGTGATTTTCCACAAGAAAAAAACAATGATCAATATTCTTTAAGCCAAAACAGAATAACGTTCGAAATGAATGAAAAAATTGTAAATTTTAACGAATAAAAAAAAACGTTCGATTCGAAAAAAAATCACTGAGCGAACAAAAAAAATGTTACATTTTGTTTTCCCACTCAAAGGAAAGATATAATAACCAAACTATTCAGTTCCTTAGGTGGAAATAGATTATTTTCATATTCGATTCACATATGATGATGATGATGATAAGCTAATGACCAATATCACCAATTGTTATTATTTACATTTAGAGAACAACCAAAAAAAAAAGAGAATAACAAAGGAGAAAGTTATCTGGTAAACTTCGGCAACAACAACAGCAACAAAAATACTGAAACTGACATATTTAAGAGATGTTATACGATACATTTATGTTTTATTATGTTTTATTTATTTTTTTCGCATACCTGAAAAAAAACTTTTAAAAAAAAGGTAGCACTTTCGAAAACGTTTTCTGACAAAAGATGAAGAGAAAATAAACATACTGATAACAGAAAATGTATAAAAAGAGAGAGAAAAAAAGAGCCACTCCAAAATATAAATTCTCTTTTATCATTTTTTTCTGGTTAAAACAAAACAAAACGAAAAACCAGTTGCTTTTGAATATCCGAAATAAAGTTGTGAACTGGGTCACAATCATCATCATCATCATCATCTTTGACACAATCATCATCCACATTGGACCACATCTAACCTGTGAATGATGTTCGATTTTGATGATGATGATGTGCCGGCGGTCATTACAAATCGGCCAACCGTATATAAGAATTATTAAACCAGACCAAAAATATAATATTTATTTATATAGAAAACAAAACAAAAACATAATGTATATTTGATGATGGCCAACGGTAATAATAACGATGATGATGATGATAATAATGATGATTAGGCCAAAGTTTCAATAACATCGAAATATGATGATGATGATGATGGTGATGATAATAATAATAACAGTAACAGTATTATCATCATCATTAAAGCAATATACTTTGCTTGTGTTTTGTAAAAATCAATTCATTCAAAGAATTTATATTTGTTGTCATCATTATTATTATCATCATCATCATTGTTGAATTTTTTTTTTGTTGGCCAAAATGATCTAGTTTTATTTTATTATTCTAAAATATTATTAAATAAATAGTTGTAGCAGTAGGTAATTGACCGTACATATTATTAATCAAAAATTCGGGTTGAATGGATTCCCAAAACCAGCCTACGAAATAAATTCATCATTATGATCATATTTGGTCAAATATATTTGGTTGTTTGGTGAAACACTAAAAAAATCAGAAGAAATAACCTTATGAATTTGAATGTAGCCTAAACCCAAATTGATGATCAGTCTTTTTTCCTTTGATTACCTTAATTATCTGAACCAACAGTGAAAAAAAACAAACCAAAACAAACAAACAAAAAAAAGTTGAAATTGTCATTTAATTATGCTGGTTTGTTTGAAAAAAAAGAAAAGATTAATGTCCATGCGTCATGGTTTTAACTAAGACAATTATAATGATGGTAACATTCATTGGATGATTTTTTTTTCATTAAAGATTTATTTACTTTTCTTCAAATTAAAATTTATTTCATTTTTAATTTTTAATTTCATTGATTTTCACAGCAACAAAAAAAAAAGATTTATTTTTTCTTTGTTGATAAAGTATCAGCAATAGATTGAAGAAATGTTTTACCATTGATTATTGATGTAGTTGCAATGATAAATTCTGAATTGACATTTTCTTTTTGTGCCAACAAACGAAGTGCAGATATTTCCGAAAATGTACAACCACCAATAAATAATACCATCACTAATTTATCATTTGTTTCCGATGTTGATTGCATTGATAGTGTATCAGAGTTACGTCGGCGACGTAAATTACCTGTCGATTGATTTTCTTCAAATATTACATATGGATTTGGCACATTTGGTTCTGGTTTACTATTTCGAGTGAAAGCATCATTAAATGATCGGTAACCAAATTGATCGATATGTTGTATAATACGAGCAGTGAATGGAAAATAAACATCATGAACTTGTCCCTGATACAATAGTAGCTGATTATCACCATTAGCAGTATTAACATTATTCGATTTAGTAGATTCGTTTGTTAATCGAAATTTTGCCCGTAATCCTGAATATAACATTCCATAACCATTCGAAATTCGAAGTAAGCCACATTTTTCCAAAGCATTTAATGTTAACAAATGTTGATAGCCATATGTTTGTACAATTTCACGTTTATAATAATCAAGAGTTTTTTGTTTAAGACCATTAGCACAAATAGTTTGTAGTAAAATTAAACGTAAAACAATTATTATATCTTCTGAACGAGCAATACAAGTTTCAATAAACGGATTGATTGTATCGATTTCGAAACAATTTAAAAATTCGCTCTCACACTGTGACAAAAAAAAAATTGAGATAAAAATAAACAATAAAAATGTTTATTAACGAAAATGGAATAAGTAAAACAATTGATTAAATTGATTGAGATGACACTTACGAAAATTCGTTCATGAAAATCTTCACGGTCGGTGACTTCACGAATTAGTTCCGCCATTGATGTATGATTAGCTTGTAAATTTCGAAGTCGTTGAAGGTATGGTATTTTCTCTACGAATTGTTTTATCTCTCTAACAGTTTTGGCTGTCCTTCGTTCATCAAATTGGGCGGATAGATTTTTAGCTGATATGCGTAAAACTGGTCCAATTCGAAGATAATAAAGATCACGAAGTTTTTTAAAAAGTTCATCACCGGAATTCAAATAGAATTTTCCTATTTGTGATTTTTTCGGCACTGAGGTTGGCGTTTGATCATCATTATTGGTCATGAATTTTTCTGGAGGCAAACGAATGGCTGTCTGATTGATACCGTATATTTCATCCAATAGACCTTCATAGGTAAGTTGGGTAATGGTCGGTGAAAGTAAATCAACCGATCTATCGATCAATATTAATTGATCAATTACGGAGACAACATTGTTTTCAATACTGATTAATTCACTTTTCATTTTGTTCATAAAATCAAATAGAATTTTTGATAAACGACCAATACCATAAACTGTTGGTATAATTCCGAAGGCACATTGTAATGTCATTAAAGATTTTGCTAGTTGATATAATGAAGAATAATCCATTTCAAGATTACATTCACGAAAACATAAAGGCCATTCAATAGAAATAATATCCGAATCTAAAACAAAAAAATCGGGAGAATATTCTTCAATCGAAGTAAACGAACCAAATACGCCCAATGTTTCCAATCTTTTTTCACATAAAATACATTTTCTTGGTATAAAAATTATATGAAAATTACAGTTACGAGTTGATTCCCAAGCTCGAATATCATCTAGAAATTTTTTTTATAATTAATCCAATTGTAAATGTCTGATTGAAAATTTCCAATTCAATGCTTACCAGCTATTGCGTCCATGTAACTTAATGTTGGTCGAATAAAATAAACAATATTTTGAGCTTCGATCATCGATCCTTGTACGGATCGAAATTTTAAATTTTGTACAACTTTATGTTCCATGAATGATGTTATATTACTAATCAATTCAAAAGGAGCAATTAATTGTTGATCCCATACGATAGCTTTAGTTCCATCGATCGAATCCAAAAGAGCAAATAGATCGGTTCGTTGAAAATCTCGTAAAGTTGACAAATTCAAACGACCAGAATTTAGATGCGTCATGGCTATTAATGACTAATTAATCTTTTCAAGATGATACAGTTTTGATTTTTTTTAAAAGTTTAAAATTTTAAATCAGAATTTGATCAAAATTGACTGAAATTTATCGGCCCACAACACCGAATGATTACTTTGTTTATGGATAGATTTGCTGATGATGTTGTTGCAAAAAAAATAAATTATTTTTGTTTTGGTTCCAGATCAAACAGCTGTCTTTGATTGGAAACTTATTGTTTATTGTCAAACAAAAAAACATCTTCGAATGCAATGCAATAGACACCAAATTCAGATTTTTTTTCATGAATGGATTCTGAATCTATTTCATCTGCAACAGGTGTGGATTTGAATTCCGATACAAATTCATTGTTTACAAATAAAATATCTGGATCGGATTCATTGGAAGATGTTGCCAGCAACAGTTGCAGTAAACCTGTTAAAATTCAAAATAACCGTAACCATGTTTTATTGTTGGATGAAGATCATTTTAGCATTAATTCTGATGTCGATTTTCTAAATGATATTGAATTTTCGGTAATTATTTTCATCTCTTTATCGTTGTCTAAAAAAGTTGTTGTTTACTTTATTTAGAATCTTAAACGTGATGAACAGATAGAATTGACTATTACTAAATATCGCAGCCAATTACAATCGTTAGAGACTGAAAATTTGATTCAAAGCGATAAAGAAGAAAAGAAACGTCAATTAGTCAAAAAAATTTGTGACCTTAAAATCAAATTAGTAAAGATTCGTGAGGAGGATGAATTTAACAATCTAAAAGTTGATGCTCAATCACAAATCGATGATTTGAAAGATGAGCTTTCTGGTAATTTGATTGCAAACATTTCAATCCTTTTTTAAGCAATTATTTTATTTAAATCATATGAATAGACGATAATCCAATATTCTTTAAGCGAATATATTCGTTTACAAAATCTATTGGTGGACATAAATTAGTACTATCCAGTGATGTATTCGAAAATGAAAAACGTCTTCGTGCTACTTGGAAAAATTATGTTAAAAACTCATCACCATTATCTTTATCACCACCATCATCTGCAAGCGAAATGTTGAATAATTCGTTGCCAATATCCCGTCTACTGAACCTATTAACATCCAATCATTTGTCATACTTAACCAGTAGTTGTGTAAACTGGCCTATAGCTTCTTGTCAACCACCTACAAACCCGATGCAACAACTAGTCTGTGATCATTGCTGTAAAAAATCGACAAAATCATTAAATGATTATATTTTTGATGCTCTCAAATTTGGTAAAAAAGATGATTCTACACCAGCAATCAGTATGCAATCTTCCACCGATCTTCGTTCATCCAATCCATATCTTGTCTGTATCTATTGTTTTTTCACCATTCATTTTAATTGTCTGACAAAAGATGTACGAAAATGTCCAAAGTTATTTTTCGATTCATTGAACGATGATGTTATTGAAGAATTTTATGCACGTTTATACAATTATAATAACTCACCATTATCATCCGACTCAAGAAAATCGAATAGCAATTCTGGTAATAATGATCCAAATAAATCAACACCGGTTAACGGCATTATAGAGAGCTATCAACAAAGAATGAAGCGTATAATATTAAAAATTTGTCCAGAAATCGGTCTGGCAAATCAGGATTTTCGTTGCGCTGAATGTCGAATATCAATTTCACCATCACCAGCAAAAGATTCGACAAAAATCGTATCGAAACCAAGACTTTGTGATTATTCGGGTCTTTATTTTTGTGAAACTTGTCACATGAATGATATTGCAATTATTCCAGCACGAGTTATTCATAATTGGGATTTTCAACCTCAACCAGTTGCTCGTGTATCATTACAAATTATTTCCTATTTACGAAATAAATCATTCCATTATGATCGTGCTGTTCTTATCAATCTGGTCGAAATCAATCCAATGTTGTATGGATTAGTCGATGAATTGATTCAGATTAAAGTAAGTAATTGGATAGTTTTTTTTTAAATAAAATAATATTTTTATTGATAAATTTTAATTTTAATTAGCGTTTACGAACTGAACTTTGTCATATATACAAATATATTTGGCTATGTAAACAACCATCAAAACCACGACAATGGATCTCGATCATGTGCCAATTGGGATCACATCTGTTGAATGAACAAGAAATCAATTATCTTTCATTTTGTGATATATGTGATCTAAAGTCATTGGTCCGTAATTTATCTGAACTTGAAAATTTATTCATCAATCATATTACAACTTGTGAAGTATTTGCTGAATCGGATTATTATCCTCAATTTTTTTATTGATTATGATTTTTTTTTCAATTTTATCCAAAGGGTTGTCGTGGAAAAGGATTTTATTGTGAACTTTGTCCAAACAAAGAAGATATATTGTTCCCATTCTCACCGAACACAACTATTTGTCCCATTTGTGATGCTGTTTATCATAAGTAATAATTTTTCAAATACAATTCTATTATTGATTTTTTCGTTTTTTTTCTTCAGAAACTGTTATTATCGCCGTAATCGTTTATGTCCTCGATGTAATCGAATCAAAGGCAAATATACAGTCAAATTGGATGGCATAACAAATGGTGAAATTGATCAAGAAAATGAGGCTTCGTAAATTCGCATGAAGGATATTAATTTTTTTAGGAATATATTTTTTTAAATATAAATTGATTTGTTTGCTTATAATATTTCAATATATTGATAATTTTTGAAACTTTCAACAACAAAAAAAACGATTTAATAATTTAAATAAAATACCATCTATTGGTGAAAAATTGTACTAAAACATAAGAATGTTTTGTTTTTGAGAATTTTATTTGATTCACAAGATTCTTGCTGATTTTTTTAGGAATTTAAAATGGGTGTAACTGGTTTATGGAGTTTGATCGAAGATGCCGGAACACGTGTTGATGTTCAAACATTGAATCAGAAAATTTTGGCAATTGGTAAGACTAAGTCCATCTGTGGTTACTTTTCATCATTATTGTCAAAAAATATTTAAATAGATTTGTCAATCTGGATTAATCAATCCATTAAAGGATTTCGTGATCGAGAAGGCCGAAGTGTTGAAAATGCTCATTTATTAGGACTTTTTTATAGAATTTGTAAACTTTTGTTTTATCAAATTAAACCAATCGTTGTTTTCGATGGCGAATGTCCAACACTCAAATTGCATACCGTTCAAAAACGTTTAGAAAAGACAAGAAAAAATTTACAAAAATCCAAAAATTTGTCCATGAATGTATTGGAAAATTATATCAGTTCTCTCTTACCTTCGAAACCATCAACAACGATTGCAAGTCAAAAAATAAAATTAGATGACAAGAATTTAGCTTCGCAGATATATTTACCTCGTGAAGATCCCAAACAAACGGATATTTATCAAAATTTCGCCCAATCTAAAAATGATGAATGCAAAATTTCAATCAGCGACGAAGACGAAGAAGAAATTCCGTTAAAAAATGAATACTACCATCATTCTTTGCTTCAAAACTTGCACGATATTGATATAAATTCGCAACTTTTTAAAATGTTACCCGCCGTTACACGTTATGAGATATTAGTTGAATTAAGAGATAGCTACAAAAATCGTAAAAATACTAACATTGAGTTACTACCAAAAGAATCAAATAGTTTTTCGCAATTTCAAATGGCCAAACTACTAAAGAAACGTAGTCTTCAGGAGGAAATCGAAAAATTAATCAAAGAATTCAATAATGTTCAAGGGCAAGATAATATTGAATTACTTAAAAACACCCAACATAGTAGCCTTGATATATTTGCTTCGAAATCATCACAGTCTACCGAAATAACAACAGGGTCATTGGCTTCGGATGAGCAAACTCGATTTTTGCTTCTTAAAACATTGAATCAAGCAATCGAAGAATTTACGGTTGAAGAAGAAGAAACTTGTATAATTGAAAATGATAGTCAAAGCCCTATTTATAAAGTTCCTAATGGTTTGCCCGGACAATCCAAAATCGAAACCGATGTTGAACGAATTGAATTATTATCAAAATCTTCCGAAATGATTCCCACTAAATTTTCATCAAAGCAATTGTCGCAAGATATTGATCGTAATTTCAAAAAATACTCAGATGCTAATAAAGATACAGAAAAACTAGTTCTTAGTGATAATGATGAAACTGATTCAACAAATTCAGAAGATTTTATTGAAGTTCCTGTTGATGAACAATTTGATGATGATAGTGATAATAATAAATTGGAAGAATTTGATGAATCTTTACCTTATGATACTAGTTATGCAATCGATATTCATGTTAAAGAAGCAAGTTGTCAGGAAAAAATGACCTTAGATTTATCAAACAAATCTGTCGAAATTATAACTGATAACGAAGAAATGCTTGAGAAACAAATTGTTGAAAAAGATGTTTCCAAAATATCTGAAGAAAAAGTTATGGAGATAATTTCACAAGAAGATGATATGTCAAAAATCGTCGAAAATGATAATGATAACAAAGAAACCATAGAAACACCAATCGAACGATCATCACCAATTGACTTTGATCAAATGATTAAAGATTCAAAAGAATCAGCTAAATTAAGTAGACAGGCTAACAGTGTTACTAGTCAAATGATAAATGATTGTCAGCAATTATTACGACTGTTTGGCATTCCTTGGATTGTAGCGCCCGGTGAAGCTGAAGCTCAATGTGCTTGTCTGGAGTCGTTGGGACTTTGTGAAGGAATCATCACTGATGATAGCGATGTTTTTCTATTCGGTGGTCAAAATGTTTATAGAAATTTTTTCACTAATTCCAAATTTATAATGAGATATAGATTGGAAGATTTTAAAAAATACTATGGACTTGATCGTCATAAATTCATTTGTTTAGGTATGCTATGTGGAACTGATTATACGCTTGGAATCGATGGTGTTGGCCCGGTTACAGGTATGGAAATTTTAAGTCAATTTCCTGGCGAAGGACTTGAACCTTTGAATAAATTTTCCAAATGGTATCGGGAAAAAATCTCTAACAAAGATGTTCGACCAGAGAATCCAATACGGGCAAAATTATTGCGATTATTAGTACCTGATTCATTTCCGAATCGAGTTATATTCGATGCATATCAAAATGCAAATGTTAATGATTCAAATGAACCGTTTAGTTGGTCAATGCCACAACTTTCAGAATTACGGCAATTTGCAACCGAACGTTTTGGCTGGTCTGAAGCTAAAACTGATGCTTTTTTGTTACCAGTATTAAAAAGTCTTAATTCAAAACAGGTTTGTCTATTTCTATCTCTTGTTATCAAACTTAATTTTCTTTTTTTTTACTATTTTTTTCAGACGCAAAAGAAAATCGATTTCTATTTTAAAACAGCACTTAATCAATTATCTAATAACAATGTTATAACGGAAAAATTAAAAATTAAACGTAGTAAACGTTTAAATGAAGCCATTCGAAAAAATCTTCAATTATCGATTGATAAAAATATGCAAAATGATAATCAATCAAATAACAATCAAGGACATCGATCAAATCAAAACAAAAAACGATCAAAATCTAATAAGTTTATTGATAGAAGAAAAAATAAGCGCATAGTAACATCCGCATTTAAACAAACTTCTCCACTTAAAAAAACTAATGTTAACTGTTTATTATTATCAGAAGAATCATCGAGTGATTGATCAACTTAAAAGTTGTTAAAAAATTTATGATGTTCAAGGTTAAATTGATGATAGTATTTTTCTGAAGAAATCAATCAATAAATACCGTTACTTTGTTTTTTTAATGATCATTGCATTTTTAAAATTATCGATTTGATCAGAAAGATGCCTGTGTTAAAAGTGCTTTTCGTTCCCCTTGATACATATGGTCATATAAATTCATGCATCGGAATTGCAGAAAAAATCATACAATTTGGTCATCAAGTAACATTTGCATTGGAAAAGGCTTGGTTGGGAAAATTGTCAAAATATGGATTTAATGAAATCATTTATGTTGATCAATCAAGAGGTCCTAATCAAGGTCCAAATGATTATTGGGTTAAATCAATCGATATGATTGCGGAAACATTACCGGAAGATTCTCTTTACAAAGCTCAACATCAAAGTGTTAAAGAATTTGAAGATTTTGTTTTTAATGTATTAAATTTTAATGATGAATTAAAATCGATTATCGATCAAATTAATCCGGATGTTATTGTACTTGATCACTATTTTACTGTTCCTGCTATTTATCAAAGTGGTCGAAAATGGATCTACATGACAAGTGCAACACCGTTGAGTGCCATTATTCATCCTGATACACCGCCGACAGGATCAGGATATCCTATCGATGGCGATCGAAAAGAATGGCAAATATTTAATGAGGTATCAGAAAAACATGATGGACCAATCATAAATAAATTTAATCAAGTTTTGATGGAAAAATATGGTCTTCCTAGTTTGCCGGAAGGCAGTGCTTTCCATCCATCACCATATTTAAATATCTATGCATATCCTGAAGAATTAGATTATCTTGATATTCGACCATTACCAGACAAATGGAAACGTTATGATAATTTTATTCGATCTTCTCAAGTTTTAACGAATCAAAAATTTGAACTACCTGATAAATTGAAAAATCGTTCGGGAAAACTAATTTTTGTATCAATGGGATCAATGGGTTGTTCACAATTGAATCTAACTAAACGTTTAGTAGAAATTTTGTCTCAATCACCACATCGATTCTTGATGGTCATGGGATCTTGTTTGGAAAATGTCAAATTACCTGACAATATATGGGGTGATAAAATGTTACCACAAGTACAGATTTTACCTATGGTTGATTTGGTAATCACACACGGTGGTAACAACACTGTCATTGAATCATTATACAATGGTAAACCAATGATATTATGTCCATTGTTTTATGATCAATATGATAATGCACAAAGAGTGACTGAAAAAGGATATGGTTATCGTACAAATCCATATAAATGTGAACCACGTGAACTATTGGAAATGATTGAAAGTATTTTAAATGATCAAAATATGAATGATCGATGCCGAAAAATATCGAAAAGAATGCAAAACATTGATAGTCCAATGCAAGCAGCTAAAGATATTATCGATATTGCATTAGAGAAATAAATAAGATTTTATTTAGAAATTTGTTGAAATTAACATTTTAATTTTATTACAAAATTTTTATAAAACATTTTCTATATTTTTATTCTAAAAAAAATTTAATAAAATTTTGCTTTTTAAAACTGTAATTTTAATTCAAAATAAAAATGCTTGCTATAAAAGATGATTGTAAGCTCCATCTATTATCAATACAAACGAGGATAGTGATGAGAATTGATTCGAAAGAAATCAAGACGGCTAAAAAATCTGGTTGTTTGCCAAAAAAGTTATCCCTGTCTGATAAAGATCCTCACATTAAAAAAAGAAAAGATATTTATCATTTTTTTTTGTTGTCTTTTATCTAAAAAAGATTTGTCATCAGATTTCGATAAACATATTAAACCGAAAACACGTTCCATTTACAATGGTAATGGCAATAATACCAATCTGGTGATTTATTGATCAATTGATTGATTGATTGATTGATTGGAATTTGATGTTTGATTATGCGTTTTAAGAAGAAAACAAAAAACTGAAATTAAATTAATCAATCATTGATTAGATAATCAATCAATAAATAGAGGAAGGTATTCGAAATGCGAGCCACACAAACACAGAAACAAACAAAGGATTGATGATAAGAGGAGAAAAAACATTTCTAAATGTTTTTTTCGAATATTTTTTTTTCTGTCTTAAATCATCACCGTCAAATCTCAACATCAGTTTAAGGCATTCATTATTAGTTTTTTCTTCTTTTGCATAGTGATTCATTAAACATTGTCCACTATTATTCATGTTTTTTTTTTGTTTGGTAATCATTATAATTTAAGAGGAAATTTTTGTTTTTTTTCCTTTGGACAAGCAATAGAATATCATACGAGTGAAAAAACCCCATAGTCAAAAAAAAAATCTTTATTTTTTTAAATATATAAAATTCCTTATCTTTTCAAGCAAGAATTCAAATCCAAAAATGCGAAGAAAATCGGAAAAAATTATACGATTCTGTGTGGTTTGTGGTGACAAGGCAAAAGGTTTGAAATTTCATTTTCATTTCAATTTTTTTTTTAAAGTAAAATGAATTATTTTTAATGATAATCATATAATTAGGAATGAATTTCAACGCATTAACTTGTCAATCATGTAAAGCATTTTTTCGACGAAATGCATTATCAAATAAAGAATTAAAATGTTCATTTGAAAATCGTTGTCATATTGATAAAATTACAAGAAAATTTTGTTCAAGTTGTCGATTACAAAAATGTTTTAATAATGGAATGAAAAAAGAATACATTTTAACGGATGAGGAAAAACGTTTGGTACGGGAAAAAATCCTACAAAATCGTCATCGTCGTGAACAACAATTAAAACGTATGAACGATAGTAGCTATAATAATCATTCAAATAGATCATCATCAGCTATATCGATTACATCACCATTCAATGATGATGATGATGATGACGATGATGATGATGTTGTTGTTGATAATAATGTAATCAATGCTTCAGTAACATCATCAATATTGAAACCATATTCGTACGATTCATTAATGGATTCCGATCGTGGATTAGTAGATCAATTTTATACATCGCCAACAAAACGATTTTCACCGGTCAGCAATAGTGATCATACTACTGACTATATGATGAGTCCTTGTAGTTCAACATCGATTTTTCCCGAACCTGAACAACCAATGTATATGGCTCATCATCATCATCATAATCATCTTCATGATACAATCGATGTAAATATTCCTTATGTTGGTCCATCATTTGATTCACATGATTTAGATGAAAATGTAAAAAATTTACAAACATTAAACATTCAACAAACATCATTCAAAAATGGTACAGGAAATATTATCAATCTTGATATGAATTATCAACAAACACCGTTAAATTTTGTTGCTGAAAAGATTGATGATGTTCCAAGAAATGTTACAGAAAATCGTTCTATTCCATTGAATAGTATGAAAATGGAAGAAGAGAATTGTGATGATTGTCTAAGATATCATCTACAAAAATCAAATGATTTGGATGATGAATCAACGATTGAAGCAATTAATGAATTTCAAGTTAGATTTGATATGAATATTTTTCATTCAAATGATTATGATTTGATGTTTTCGGAAAATGATAAACTTTTGTTAAAAGAATTATGTACCGCATGTACATGGCTGCATAATCCTTATAAACGAATGTTGATCATACGAAATCAACATTATCTTAATGATTCACCACATGATTGTACATTGGTCGATTCTTATCTATATCGAATAATTCGAGTGTCAAAACGATTAACACCATTCACATCATTACATTTGGATGATCAAGTACAATTATTAACATTTGGTATGATTGAAATTATTGGCTTATATTCAATGTTATGTTTTGATCCAGAATTTCAAGGATGGTCTTTCATTGATGTAAGCATATATTATCACTATGTCATTCTAGTTATTTGAATTTTTCGTTTTTTGTTTAGGATCATCATAAAATGACAATCAAAGTAAATATGGATTGTGTAACACCTTGTTGCATTAAATATGATTACAAAACAAGTGTTAAAAATTTTTACAATACATTTAAATATGAATGGAAAACTGATTATATTATTATTAATTTGCTTACGGCAACCATTTTGTTCACTGAAAGACCAGGTATTCGTGATTCGGCAAAAATCAGGTAATTTTCGAAATTGGATTACTTTTTTCTCAATTTTAATTATTTCTTTTTTAACTGGATAGAGAAAGAAAAAATCTATACATTCAATTATTGAAACATTATCTAAATCTAAAATATACGGATAAAACGGATGCAATATGGGCATTTGATCGAATGTTTTTAACAGTAAAAGCAATGCAAATGGTACAAACAGATCTAACGTTACATTTGGTTGCCAGTACTGCTGGTAAAAAATTTAGTCCATTATTGGGTCAATTGATGGCACAACATATAAGTCAACAATTATGGCATGAAGATGATAAAAAACATGATTGTAATATTAATCGTTTAGCAAATCGATCACGAATTATATGGCTTAACAAATCAGAAAATACGGAAACGGATCCGATTCGTACAGCCGAAAGCAATACTTTTAGCTTTTCATAAAATTTATTTATTTTTTTTATTGAATCTGATTACAATTGATAAAACTTTGTAAAAAAAATTATTCAATCAATCTAAATGTTTAGAACATGTTATTGTTTTATTTAATCTTTTTGTTTTTACGATTGGGTGTTTGTTTGACTAAATTTCGACCACATAAAATGGCCATTTTGTAGAATAGAGAATTGACCAAACCAAGTGCAACACCGAACGAAATACGTAAAGGCCAATTAAGTTTTTCTAAAAATGGATACACCCAAAAGTTGGTGGTGAAAGCGATGTAAAGTACCCAGAATGAATAGACATAGCTGAATAGATTGATTATGATCAAACCATGTGCTTGCTTTGAGGGAGGATTCCGATTACCGAAAATCAATTCGATCAATACTAGGAAAGCGACCAATGTGTGCTATATTATTTTTTAAAAAAAAGGCAAAAGAATAAATAAACATTTATACAATCTATTATTACATGCATTATATATTTTTCAGCTGTTCCAGAAACAACAGTTGTATAATGTTGTAAAGAAAAGGTAAAAAAAACAAATCATAATCATCATACCGATGTTTGATTTAGCCAAAACGGATAATATGCATCCAATGCTTTTGGAAATACCAATTCACGGTCTATAGAATAAAGTGTCCAGAATGAAATGGTTACAATCTTTATGGAATCAGGAAAAAAATATATGTCAAAAACTTATAGATTTTAACATTTTGGAAGATAAATAATAATAATTTACCATGGCGATTGGGAATACCAATGAATAGAACAGAAAATCAAGCAAACGTCCAAATGATTTTGGTGTCCATCGAAACGAACCAATCAATGCCAATCCGAAAAATCCAAGTTGTAATAACTGTGACATTTCAAATTGAAATTAAATGGATAATTTATAAATTATTAAGAAAAACGAAACAAAAAAAAAATTATAATTTACCAAATCCCAATAGGTTAGATATTTCCATTTGCCAAATGGTCTCCCTCGTACTTCAGGTGGTAATGTTTCATATGTCCAAATATAATATACTGAATATCCATAAGCAATAAAGGCGACAAATCGTACAATTAAAAGAAATTTATTTGATGCCATTTTAGTCATAATATTTTCCCATGTACCGATGATTATTATATTAGGGTTCAAACAATTAATACCATTAAACAAATTATTCAATAACAGCAGAAAAAAAATGAAATTGTAATCTCAACAATTTATCATTGTCGTTAATAATAATTTTTCCAATGAAATATACTCAACGATTTGATATGAAGCCACTACTCATGTATGATCATTATCAACAAATAGTTTAAACCAACATTGAGTATGAGGAAAATAGTCGTCAATTTTTTTTCTTATTTTAATTGAAAGTTGTCAACGGATAGTTTTAAGATTGGAATCTTCCTCAACACATTCATCATTTGAAAATATCTATCGATTTACATTTACTCCAATTGAATCATATTACAATTGATAAAACTTTTGTAAACAAAACAAACAAACAAAATTATTAATCAATCTAAATGTTTAGAACAATATTGTTTTATTTAATCTTTTTATTATTACGATTGGGTGTTTGTTTGAAGAAATTCTGTCGACAAAATATAGCCATTTTATAGAATAGTGAATTGATCAAACCAAGTGCAACACCGAAACAAATACGTAAAGGCCAATTAAGTTTTTGTAAAACAGGATACACCCAGATGTCGGTTGTAAGAGCAATGTAAAGTACCCATAATGCATATACATAGCTGAATAGATTGATCATAATCAAACCATGTGCTTGTTTTGATGGTGGATTACGATTTGCAAAAATCAATTCGACCAACACAAGTAAAGCGACCAATGTATGCTATATTATTTTTCAAAAAAAAAACAACAAATAAACATTTACACAATCAATATTTTTTTCAGCTGTTCCAGAAACAAAAATTATACTGGTTTATAGAACAGTAAAAAAGGAGAAAAAAAACAGATCATACCGATGTTTGATGAAGCCAATACGGATAATATGGATCATATGCTTTTGGAAATACTAGTTCACGGTCAATCGACCAAAGTGACCAGAATGAAATGGCCACAAACTGTATGGAAACCGGAAAAGATTTGATTAATACTTTATGTTTTCATTTCATGTGTGTGTGTGTGTGTGTGTGTGTAAATGTCACTTATTGATTTTAATCAATAAAAAACATTTTGATTGATAAAAAAAAAACAAAGCTAATTTACCATGGCGACCGGGAATGCCAATGAATAGAACACAAAATCAACTAAACGTCCAAATGATTTTGGTGTCCATCGAAACGAACCAATCAATGCCAATCCAAAAAATCCAAATTGTAATAACTAATGACATTTCAAATTGGATTTTCAAATGAATAAATTCATAAATTATTGAACAAAACAAATTTTTTTTTTTTTGAATTTACCAAATCCCAATAGGTTAGAAATTTCCATTTGCCAAATGGCCGATTTCGTAAGTGAGGTGGTAGTGTTTCATTCTTTTGACGATAAAATACTGAATAACCATACAAAAGGAATGCAGCAAATCGTATGATTAAAAGGAATTTATTTGATGTCATTTTTGTCATAAAATATTTTTTTTCCAAAAATATTGATGATAATTATATTATAATGATTTAACAACAATTGATGACAACAACAGCGGGAAAAAAATTGACATTGAAAATCATCAAAACAACAATAATTTACAGCATAAAATCACCATTGATTTAAAATTTTTTTTGCTCACTGGTTTGACTGGTGTTTGGGATTTGATGCCACTACTTACTCTTGATCATCAACGATTTTAGTTAAACCAGTGTGACGGCTAAAATAGTGATCATTATTTTTTTCATTATTCTTTTTTTGTTTTGTTTTGTTTACGAAACAATTTAATTGTCAATGGGACGTTCCATTTTTATGTTGGAATTGTTGTCCTTGACTTTATACATTACCGATCATCATCATTCATCACTCGAGAGTAATACCTAATTATATATTAGATAATCATTAAATGAATTGAATAAAATGAAATGAATGGTTGTTGATTTCAAGGATGATCCAGGAAGATTTTTTTTTGTTAATAATCATTTTAATCCTTTATGAACCAATTCTGTCAAATTTATTTATTAAATATTTTTTTTTGCTCATGTATATTTATAATATAAAGAGTCAGTAATGATTATAATAATAAAAAACAAATGGGAGAAGAAAAAATTAATTATTAATAAATAGATAAAGCCTGGAAATGACTTGTTGTTGTGTTGTCGTTTTTCAAAAAATGAATTTGAAGCAATTCATAATTGAAAGCAAGAGCGAAAAAAAATGATTAATTTCAATCACGATAACCTCGGGTATTACTATTGCTACTTGAAGTGGTGGTTGTTGTCGATTCCAGATAACGATTTATAAATTGTTCTTTAATATCACTGGTCAATTCCATAATCCAACGTAAAATTTTCGAATGAAGCATAAAATATTTTTCATATTCTGAACGTGGTTGTAAAGAATTTTTAAAATTTCTTTCCAAATTATACATATATGCTTTTGTAATGCTATTCATAACATCATTTGTATTTTTAATCAATTGATCTAAACTTTGTACAATCATTGATTGTGAATATTCACTATTTTTACCATCCGAATGAACATAACGTTCTAGTTGTGTATTTGTTGATTTAATTTGTTCATAAAATTGATCAATTTGATATGATGCATGTGATTTTGTTGAACGTGTTTCCGATGAAACATCTGTCCATGAAATTGGATTAATAAATCCATGTCCATAGCCCAAAATTTCAAGTGCAAGATCATTATGACATAATAGTTGATAATCACATGTCATAATTACATCATGCCATAAAAATTTTTTCAATATACCATACCATGGTTGACTATCTTCAAGTTGTATAAATTTTGTTTTATTAAAATTTAATTGTTCAATATTTTTCTGTATCATTTCTAATGTACCATTAATAACATGTTTATCTGTTGATGGATAACGTATTGGATTATCACGTATAATTCTAATACGTTCATATAAAAGATTAATATTATCTTCATTTGAACAATATTTTAAATTATTTGGATAGGTAGGATCATCTCGCCATCTGGTAAAATAGATTTCTCGATCAATTAGTACTGGTTATCAACGATGATTATGATGATAAAGAACCCCAAAAAAATATATAAATAATAAAATGGAAATACATTAAATAAAACAGAAAAGAGTTAATCAATTTTTCATTATTTATTTTGTTTTTGAAATGAAACATACCCGCATCGGAAATAGATATTTCCAACAACATCAATATGGCAATGACGATAAAAATTAATATCTTCATGTTTTGTATTTTGGTATTTTTTTTCTTTAACGAACAATAAATTATTAGTTTTTTTTTTGCTGGCAATGTAGATGATGCGTATGATGAATGAATGAATGAATGAATGAGAAGCCAATTTATTTTTGGGCCCAGAAAAAAAATATAGTTTTCAATCACACACAGCTTAGCTAAGCGAATGTTTTTCGATGATGATGATGACGACGACGACGACGACGACGACAATGATAATGAATAATCGTAGCTGAATGTGCAATCTTATTCCTTACGAACGAAATAAAAATATAATAATGTTGTCCACCACTTTGTATTCGAGATGATTTTTTTTCGAAAAAAAACAACAACACTAGATGAAGAGACAATTTAATTAATTGCAATTCATTGAAAAAATATCATGGCCAATTTATATATAGAGAAAACAGAAATGATGATGATTCAAAGAAGAAGATTAATATTAGAAGAAAAAAAAATCTTCTTCTATTTGGTTCTACGATGTTGTTGTTGTTGTTGTATCAAGTGAAGATGATAACCTCCTCCAACCAAATTTTTTTTTTCTCTTTTCAAGCATATTTTTTTCTGAAGAAGAAAAAACATCGAGCATCATCATGATAATAACCAGAAACAGATATAAAGAGCTCCATATCACATTTATAATTTAAATTGATAATGATGTTGTTGTTTTTCATTTTAGATGGTTGGTTGATTGATTGGTTTATTCTTTGGGTTATTTTTCATTTCAATGTTGAATAGACCGATCATTCGACGACCGGTTCGAGAACGAGATGCAATAAAAAAATGTTGAGGCTGATTTCAACAAAACAAAAAGAAAATACTAAAGAAGATACATTCAATATGTGTGTATACGAAAATAGATGTGATTCATTTCAAGTTTTGTTTGAAGAATAATATTATGATCATTATCGAAAGACAAAAACAAAATTTTTGTTTTGATTTTTAGCGACTACATCATCATTACAGTTGATAAAGGAAAAAAACAACAACAAACAAGAACTTTTGCCAAGTTCTTTGAATTTTTTTTTTTCATTCAACATTCAATCCTTTCCAAACCAATTGTAAAGAAACAAAAAAAAACCAGAATACAATAGGAAGTGAATAAATAATTTCAAGGTTAATGATTAATAATAATCATGATCATCAAAGGGTTAAAAAAAATAATAATACCGGAAATATTTTAATCAATCAAATCATTATTCATTATCGGTCAATGATCGAATAATGATTGAATATTTTTACCAAAATGTCCAATCCAATTCAATTCAAAAAATTAAGGATGTGTAACTTTTTTTTTATTATTCAAAAATTTTGTTTTTCAAATGTAAAATGATAAAGATAGAAGGAAAAAAGGAAAAAAAACAATTTTATCTATAATTGTTGTTCATTTCAAAGAAAAAACAAGGTCTGGTGGTATATTATTCATCATCAATATCAAAGTTTGTTTTTTTTTGTTGTTGATTTGATTGATTAGATTTTTCTTAGCTGTTTCCGTTTAGTTATTATTATTTTTTTTCATTCATATGATGTGCGTGTAATCGGTATTTGGGTGCGTTTGTAATGTGTGTGTGTGTGTGTGTGTTTAAACAGGCTATTGATAAGCTAAAATGAGTTAGTTTTTTGTTTGTTTGTTTGTTTGATTGATTTAAGATTCATTGTTTTTTTTCAGGTTAATCATATATTTTGTGATTTTTGTTGTCGACGAATACCGCGTAGATCGATAATAAACCATGCGACCAATACAATGAATAATATATACATGATGATTTTACCGATCAAAATTGGTTCTTCAGAATAGATACCAACCACTGTTGTATAAAGTAGGCCAACAAATGTTATAATAGCATAGGTCAATGATAGACAATAATGTTCCATAATGACACCGATCAAACCGATCAAACAAATGATGAATCCGATTACGATAGCAATTATTTGACCTACCCACTTGATAATGATAATGATAATAAAATATAAATGGGAAAAAAAGATATTTTTTTTTTTTGGTTTCATTGAATTTACAATTCTTACCTTAGTTTGTCCTTCATTTTCTCTCGCCTTATTCAATATACCATCGAGAAATTGTCGAGTTGAATTATTATCAATCGAACCAAGATCGACATTGATTCGTGTTATATTTAATTTAGCCAAATTATCACCAACTGTATTCACTGCATTTGTTATTTGACTTAATGTTGGAATTTTGCTTGTAGTATTACGATTATCCGGATTAATATTATCATCGGAATTGTTTCGTTGTACTAATGCAATGGTTGTCAAAATTAATACCAATAGATCGATCGAAATCAATACGACTAATGTCCATTTACGGCATTTAAAACCGGACGGATAATTTACTTGACGATTCATGATTTTTCAAGGATTATATAAATCAACAATAATGATGATGATCGATGAGAATCAATTGAGAATAGGAAAAAAGATGCGAAAAAAACAAATTCAAGGCAATCTTAAGGCAAAAGACACGGAACAACACAACACAATCGTGATTGAATTAATCAAACCAAAACCAAAACCAAACCAAACTAAACAAACGAATGAATGATTATTATGCGACAAAAATTCAACTTGAAGAAATTGTGCAAATGAAAATTAGATCACAACAGAATTGAATTCTGTTTTTTTTTATGATGATGATGATGAGGACTATAAAAAGTGTGATGACAGAGTATTACAGAAGTTTTATGAGAAACTTTTTTTTTATTCACTTTATGATCTAAATTCTATTTGGTTAATTCTTTCGACGAAATGTTAATGAATGAATGAATGAATGAATGATTATATCAACGTTATCATCGAAAGAAAAAAATTCGAATGTATTTTTTTTCGTGTGAGCGCGTGCGCCACAAAATTCTGTAGGTTTTGGGAGTTGTCATCAACAAAGTTTTTCTTTTGGTTTCATAACATACCGAAATGAAAGCAAGTGTTTTTCATTCATTCATCCAAACAAAAAAAAAACTAGCCGATGTTCCATCATCATCATGTTATCATTATTATTATTATCGTCATCATCATCATCTGGCAATTACATCGATGTACAAAGAGAGAGAAAAAAATATATAATTTAGCCTTGTAACCGAAAAGAAAAACAATAAAAAAACACGAATTAAACATGAACCACTCCAACAAAATGCGACAATTGTTGATGATGATGATGATAATAATGATGAAACTTTACCGCCTATATTCAATTCAAAATGAAAATTTTCAAAACGAAAATCCTACATCCATCCATCTGCGTCAATATTTATTCTATACGACGACAACAATATATGGGCGTATACACAATAATTTCGAATGTTTTGAATGTGTTTTGTGTTCGAATAACGCATGTTCAAGAACATTTTGATTTTTTTTTTTTGAATTTCTATTTTTTTGTAGTTAATTGGAAAATGTTCAACATTAGGTATTTCTATGTTTTTTTTTTCAGTCTGAATGTTGGTGTCTAGTCTCACTTGAAGAACAATGAAAAAAATGAAATTATCCATTTCAAGGTTAATTTTTATGAAAAATATACCATAAATGACCATTTTTGATCATTATGAAAATCATTATCATTATCAAATCAAAAATGTTTTTTTTTGTTGTTGGCAATGATTACGGAAGAAATCATGATTTTATTTTTATTTTTATTTTCACTGATTCTTTTCATTTGATTAGAATCACTTATGAACTTTACAATACTTGTAAAAAGAATAATGAATATTTTTAGAATGTTAATTATTTTTCATTCGATTTAGCGGAAAAAAAATCAAGAATAAAAGAACAAATGTTTACATAGAATATATAATTGTGCCATATGTTTAGAAAACAATGAACAAACTGATCTGAAAATTCTGATTTTCTTGAGAGTTAGAAAATTATTATGTCAGGTATAGAGAGACATAACAAAAATGTCCTTGATATTCTGGTGGTCATAGTTACCGAATTTAATTTTCTTTCCCTTTTCCACACCGTTTCGTGGAAAAAAATCCCGAATTCTCCATTCAAAAACCTGTTGAAATTTACCTTTAAAGAATTTCCCGATTTCCAAGTTGGCTTTTGAAATATTGGTTTTGAATATTTGTTCAAGATTCAATCAACAGATGTCCGTACTAAATTTGTAAACAAACATTCATTGTTTTTTTTTGCATCGCATTATTTTAATCAATTGTTTAATCACCGCATCTTTCTAAATGATCTTTTCATTTTTTTTTTGTTTTGTTTCCCAATAACATGCAAACATTTCTGCTATTTCATCCGAAGACAATCATTATCCACTACTGTTACAGTAATTGAGTAATTGGATTCGATTTTTATTTGTATGTTTGTATGTTGGAGTATGTTCATTTTTTTTTCGTGAACAAAATACACTTTTTTTAAAAAAACAAAATCATTTGCCAAAAATAAAACAGTTAAAACCACATTTTTGTTAGGTGTTGTCATAAACATCGAATTACATCAAATTTCTTGAAAAGGCGGATACTTTTTTTAATTTACATTGGCATGCGCTACGGATAATGATAATTTTTTTCACTGTATATCAATGGATAAATTTGTCAACGAAGTTTTATTTTTTGCTAAAGATTTACGAAACAAAGTTCTATCAACAATACCGTTAACAATGTCATCACGTTCACCACATAACATAATCGATCCAACTTCATTTTCATCGGTTGTACGAAATCCTAGTCTACCGGTTTGTTGTTCAATTCCTAATGGTAGTTTGGAACTTGGAACTTTGATTTCAATCTATGCTACCATAACATCGAATGGTCGTAAATTTCGGGTCGATTTTTTCGAAGGAAAATGTCCACACATTCATGGTGATGGTGTAAGATGCGATGCAGTTAGTGATGATAACAATATTGCATTTCATTTTAATCCTCGAATTGGTGGTGGTGCCGAAGGTCGTGATGTGGTCGTAATGAATTCATTCTGCAATGGTCAATGGGGTTCGGAAGAACGTTTTCCAGAATCTTTCCCATTTCAAGCCGATGCACCGTTTCGAATGATGATTTTAGTCGAATCGGATGGATTTAAAGTTGCTGTCGATGGAAGGCATTCATATGAATTTAAACATCGATGCGATTTTCGTGATATTGGTATGTATGGTGTATTTGTTAATTTGATCTAATACACTATTCTATGATGATGATAGCTCGAATGCACATTGAAGGAGATCTCATATTGGATTTGATCGAATTTCGTAAAGAACTTCGTTATCTTGCTCGAACAGAATCAACATCATCATCATTGACAGTTGATTCAACAACATCAACCGAAGAGGCTACTGGACCAACAGCTCCTATTGGTGGTGACATACCATCATCAAATGAACAATCGAAATCTGTAACATCTCCCACAATTCCTTACATGGAATTCGATCCAAATCTATCGCGACCATGTGATATTTATATTGCAGGAATGTTACCCGCAAATATACGGGATAATTTCACCATCAATTTGGCAAATAGTGTTGAAGCTGAACAAAGTGACGCCGGAATTGTTAACATACCGGTTCACATTAGCATTCGAGCAGATATTCAAGCTATTGTCCGTAATACAATGACAAATGGTGTATGGGGTGAAGAAGAACTTTATCTTGAGGGACCTTTTCAATTGATACCTGGAACACATTTTGATTTAATGATCAGTAATCGTGAAGATAAAGTAGTTATGGCTATTAATGGACAACCAGCATTTGAATATAAACATCGACATGATCCGAAAACAATCGATTCATTACAGATTAAAGGTGGTGTTGTTTTAGTTTCGATTCGTTATGAATTCAAATGAATAAGAAAACTATGAATGGATGAAATGTTTTTTTTTTGGTTTAATTTTAATCATCGACATTATTGGTCATATTTTTTTTTTTAAAAAATCAAAGATTAAATTCAGTGTTTCTAAATAATGATATTTTTTATTATTATTTTATCGTTCAAATATTGTAAACAACAATTGTATTTGTTTAAAATTAAATATCAATCACTTGATCACTGATGATCATGTGGAAATTGTTGAATGGAAAATAAAACAAGTTCTTTTTGTTTTGTTTTTGTTTAAACGAATTTTTTTCTCCATTATCAATCATTCGGAAAAAAATTGCACTTGATAAATTAGTTTTTCTTCAAATCGAATGTAATCAGAATTCGTAAATAGTTAATTGTATAAGTGAATATTTTTTTTGTCGGAGTATAAAACCGGTGTGCATGTGTTTCATCGAAAATTCAAATATCGATTGGAAATCAAACAAATAAAATAAAATAAAAAATATTTGACATGAAAAATGAGATTCATATTTTTACAATTAAATTAAATGATAAAAAATGAAAAAAAAATAAAATGGTTAATTGCAATGACAAATCTATGAGGACAATTTTCGTTCGGAAAAAAAATCAAGAAAGTTCCAACATTTGTGTCGAACATTCATCGGTTTCTTGTTGATCTTTTTCGTTTGATTGATTATCAAGATGATGATTTTGAATAGATTCCTCATCCATTGATTCTTCATCATTAGTATTGTTGACTAGTTCTTCATTATTAACATTATTATCATTTACATCTTGCATATCTTCATCCTCATCATCATCATCATCATCATCATCGTCATCATCATCAATACTGATAACTTCATTATTATTATTATCGACTAAACTCCTGCAATCTATTTCTGGTTCATCATCATTATGATCTTGTTTATCTGTATCATCGATAGATGATAGATTTTTTGATAATTGATCTTCATAATTGATTGTTTCTTGTTTCTGTTGTTGTTGATCATCGGAAATGTCTTCAGTTTTTAAAGTTGTTATATTTGAACATTCTTCATTCTTAAGAATTTTTGATGATTGTTCATCTTTAAATTTAACATTTGTAATATTCTCCGGTTGTTTACAAGATGTAACATAATTTGGTGTATACTTTTCTGTTCCTTGTAATAACCTTGATAAAATTAATCGTTTGTTATTATCGGATTTAGGAGATGATATTTGTTGTTGTTGCTGCTGCTGCTGTTTGGCAGCCATTTGGCTTTTAAGGATGGCAACAGGATTAATAGGTAATACCAAATCAGATGTTGATCGTGGAAGCTGAGCTAAAAGTGTGCTTTGTTTCATTATTGTAGCATTGACTTTTTGTTGTTTTAATTGCCTTGAGACAAGAGAATTATCAAAGGCTGCCAATACGGGAGTCATAGTTACAGCGAATTTTCCTTTGGTTATCGATTGTTGTGCGGAATAATTTAACATTTTGTTGGAATAAGAATTAATCAACGGTGTTGGTGATTGATTTCTTGAGCTTGATCGACTATTACTACTACCACCACCGCTACCTGGAATATACTTGTTTTGAAAATTATCGCCCATCAATTGTGCTCGACGTTTGATGGCCGAAACAGCCTGTTTAGTGATTCCATAATCACGTGCAATTCGTGCACCCGATTCATTACGTTTCAAACGATTAATTATGTCCAATCGTTCGTCACTAGTTAGATGAGGTCTTTTAGGTAATGATGCAACCGATGGTGATGTTGAATGTTGAACATTCATCGTATTTTTTGCTTGAACCGTAAAATTCGGTGGATAAATCTGTATGGTAGCACTGTTCATCTTTGACCTATGACAAAAAAAAGAAAATTAAATAAAAAATAAAGATTTATCATTTCACATTCATTTACTAACATAGTCAGAACTTTATCGTCGGTTTTTGCAGGCTGAACATTGGAAATGTTCGAATTATTCGAAGATTGATAATTGCTATATGGTTTCAGGCCAGATTTTAGTACCGTTGATAATATTGTTGATGATAAAGGCAATGTTTTGGATTTATTTTTTGTTTCATTATTGTCATCTTCCAATAGAATAACATCGTCATCATCATTGGAATCTTCTTCAGAATCTCCTGATATTTGATCTGATTCTCTATCACAATTGTTTTTATGTGATTGACCATTTAGAATAATGGATGTTTTATTCATTGAATGAACATCATTTGCTTTGAAATCATCATCGTCATCATCCAAATCGTTGATTTCATTATTATATGATGAAGAATCATCACCATCATCATCCTCTTCGTCATTGTTTGTAATACGACTATTATTGTTATTGTTATTTTTGTCAACAACATAGGTTTCCAACTGTGTCAAAGCATCGAATTTTCCCATAAGAATCTGATCCAATGCATTATTTAATTTATCTAAACGTTCAACATCTTGATCGGCCAGACGATTTGTTTCCAGATTATTGTTTATCAATGTTTGCTGTTGCTGAAAATTTGTTGTATTTTTTAATTTTTTTATCATTTGATGATGTTTTGTATAAGCAACAGATTCATTGTTAAACATAGCCGATGATCGTTTACGAATTAAAGCATCTTTTGTACTATATGGAATGATGGTTACTGGATTTTTTGTTGATGAAGTATTGACTATATTTTTGTTTGAACTACAATTATTCCAATTGATTGGCTGGATTTTATCCAAAAATGATCGAACCAAACTTTTATCTGGACGACCATTTACACTGTCACAGTTGACCAATCTAATATCTAAATCATTGGAAAATTTATTTTTCAACGATGATGATGATGATGTGGATGTATATTTGCCAGCAAATCTAACATTACCATTCATCGAATTTGAATGACATTTAAGTGATATTAATTTTTTATGTTGAACATTTTGATTATCGCTATCATCATATTGATCATCACCATTACGAATAATATTATTCACTATTTGTGTTTGATTTTGTTTAATCGGTAATAAACGTTTATAATCTTGTTCAAATTGATTCCAACGAGACCAAAGTTGATCTTTGCCATTACAAACACAGATACTCATATGTTCTTGTACAAGATCACGATATTGTTCGAAAAGATCTAGCAAATCTTGTGTAGCACCTAATTCATTTGTAATACGATCATTTTCACGTCTTAACTCTTCAATGGCATTCATCATTTCAATGTTATTATTTTGGTTATGGTTGATCATTTCTCTATCTTTTACTTGATTTGAATGGTGGCTATGAAATAAATGATTTGTATTTGTCAATCGTTGACTTTTGTTTATTGTCGAATGATTATTTCGATGAGTTGATGAACCGGCCATATTGATATGGCCAGATATGTAATCATCACTTTTTAAATCATACGAATATCTTTGATTATTATCTGTCGAATTATATGATATTTCTTTGACCAATTGACGATTATTCTTATTCGAACAAACATTTGACAATTCTTTCAATGATATTTTGATAGTTGGAAGTTTTTGTAATGGTGATGAACAAGTAGATGATATTGGTGAAGATGGTGATGATGGTGACGACGACGACGACGAAGATGAAGATGAGGATGAACACGATAATGATGATGTCATCAAGGTTTTTCTAGACAAATTAGTTGTCATAGCTTTTTAAACAATTAAATTCAAAATTGATAATCAGATTTTATTTGTTTGTTTGCAACTAAATTTAATTGAAAAAAAAAATTGAAATCAATTAAATTTTTTCCATCATTTGAAAAGTAATAAAAACTAACAACAAACCTAGATTGATAAATTTTGGTTTGAAAAAAATGCGAAAAAGAAAATGCCGATTAAAGAAGTTTAAGTTGGAAGTTTAGAAATATGCACAAAACACATGACAGAGGGAAAAAAATCAACAATTTTTCTATTTGGTTTATTTTTGTACTCAGAATTTTAAGTTTTTATTTACTCATTGCACAATTTGCACTTGGAATAATATCACATAACACAATCAAGGGAAATTTCAAAAAAAGATGGCACCGAAATCATAGAATTTCTATTTTATTGCAAAAAATAATGGTTAACCGGAAAAAAATAGGAACTTTAAAATTTTTGAACTTTTTTATTTCAATAATTGAATCGGTTTTTGTACTTGAAAATTTTCGTTATAAAAAAGAAGAATGATATGTGTGATGTATGTTGTGTTCGGTGGTATCGCTTAAACGATGATCATCATGTTAAATTGAAAAAAAAATTCAGATATCTGATTCTGTTTAGTTGTTGAATGGAAAACATTTCCTCGTGATGATGATGATGAACAACAACAGTAACTCAAATCAAAACCCAAACACAGAAAAAAACATAAAGTACAATGGCTTATTATATGATAATGGTGGATGGCGGCGTGGTTTATATCCCATTTTCACATAAAATCATTCAGCATTAATCAATGTGGAACATGATGATAATAATTGTGAGTATTTGAACGAAAAAAAAAACATTAATTTTCTAGGAAAAAAATGTATCATCTTTTACGATTTTTTTTGTTGATGGAAATAATTTTACATTATCGATTGATTGAATTTGACCATAGTAATAAATATTTTCTTTTCTTGAAAAAAAATGTGCAGAATAAATTGCCGAAAAATAAAAATTCACCGGGATGTTTTATTAGTGTGCGTGGATGATAGGGTTGTTGTTATATTTTATTCAATTTATCATCAGTTTTTATTGATTGATTGAAGAATCGATAATTTTTTCAGATTTTTTTTTTCGTTAATGTTGTTCGGAACAACATATTCGTTAACACACACACACACACACATGATCAATGCCATTTATAATTTAACTTTAAATTTTCTTTACGCGTTTCATTTCATTTCATTTCATTTTTTTTACACAGACAATAAACATACGGACGAAGGACGACAATAACAACATGGCCATCTTGCGCGCGTGTGTGTGTAATGTTTTGTCAGTATGGTGTTGTGCTCAAGTCACGTAAAAAAAAAATCGTATACAACATTGATGAAAAAAAAAGAACATACCATCCAATAATATTCAATATATTGATGGCCAAATGTGTATACATGTGTAAAACAAAACCACCGAAGTTATTATTTATCCATGGATGGATATTCATGAATTTTTCTTTTTTTAAAAATGACCATTAGGGTCAATGTTTGAAAGAATCGAATAATTTCACTTTGAATGAAAGGAAGTAGTTAACGATAACTATTTCAACATAATTTGAATCGAATTATCATTTTTGTTGATTATATTGAATCGAAATAGTTGAATGAATTGTTGATGACCAGGATTTTGGATGAATAAAATTAAAATTTCTGGCCATACTATCCGTTTAGTATTTATCCTTCAACAACAACAACAACAAAAAAAAGACAAGGTGAAATCAATGATAGAAACACAGATTTGTTTTATCATAATCCTCATCATCATTCAATAATATTTCTTTAAAAAAATGTCATCTCATTTAGTCAAATGATGAAAAAAAACTTATTAACTAACTCTAACTATACCACTAACCAGTTACATTCCAAGACGATATTAATAATATAATTTGAATGAAATCCAATTAACAATTTTCATCATTATTTTATCATTCATCATCATTAGCTTCTGAACAGCAAAATTCAGACGATAACACCAAAAAAAAAACAACACATAATTTAACCTTGGTTCATTTTGTATATTCGTCCGTTCTCCAGATCAACAAACAAACAAACAAGACAAAGTCATTCAAAATGATATTTTTTTACATTTTGGTCTTGTTGTTGCATATCATTTTGCCTGACTTTTGTTTGTCCTTGTGTCTCTCTCTTTGTTGTCACAAGGTAACTTGTGTCATTGTGTGGTTTTTGTCTCCTCCTTTTCACATTTTGAATTTCTTTTTTCTGCTAAAAACTCAAAATATTTTCATTCATGAAAATATGGGAATCTGACAAAAAAAACCAGAAAAAAATTGAAAAAAAATCAATGATGATTGTCGCGACATCTAGAAAATTCTATTGACCAATCGCTCCAAATTTTTTTTTAATTCGGGCGTTTACATATACCGACAACATTTATCAAAATATGCCGCTGCCTATATCAGTTCTACAACACATGCGTTGTAGCATCGGGCACCATATAACAATGGATACCATTTTTTTTTTGATTAGTTGACTTTCGTTGACTTAAACTTTGGGCGTCAATCAATCAAATCACAGCAAACAAATGAATGAATGATTCAAGAATGAACCTCTGTTGCTATTTATCATTGTTGCTGCTGCTACTCCCGGATAATAATGAATGTTGAAGGACATTGGATGAAAACAAAATGCAAATCATATCCATTTTTTTTCAAAAAAAACAAAACAAAATTGGATACAATCTATACACAAATGTTATGGTAATTTGTTATAAAAGCTGGCGCAATCGGTCGGTTAAATTTTGTCAATATAAGCTAGCGCACACATGGCGCCTCACAATTGTTATCATCATTAGTAATCATATTTGACTCATACATATAATATGTTGATCGAGGACAAACCAGCGCCACCATTATCATAATCATTGAATTTTTATCATTATTGTAAGAAAATCTTATTCATCATTCTTTTATCGAATAATAAAAGGCGCGTTGATTATATGTCCTTGATGATTTGATCATCATAATTCGTGAAACGATATACTAAATATCTTTGAAAAAAAAGCGCAACAATCATCATCTTTTTATTATGAACAAATGATTATAATGATTTAATTTAATTATTATGACACTAAAATAATCTTTATTTGACCTTGATATTGGCATATTAATTCGGTTTGATATTTTTTTTTTTGCAATGAATTCTTAACACGGAGGGAAAGGGTAGAAAATTATCGCCCAATTCATAGAATTCTCATTTAGAAATCAACAAATGATTTTCAATCATCTATGATTTGTATTGGGATCCATATATTCATGTTGAAGGATTTTTGTTTGTTTGTTGCTTGTGTCGAATAAAAGACGCCATATTATTGTGTTTGACCTTGTGGCGACAAAGTCATCAGCCAATTGTGGTGGCCAGTTGATTGAAACTTATGGCGAATATTTATATTATGAATAGTATATATCAGCAGTAATAGCAAAATATTGTTATTCAAGGTTAGAAGCAAACAAACTTTTACAAACACCTATATTTATATATGGATGGATAGGGAGAGAATTTTAAAGACAAGTCATCATCATTGGTATCCATAAATATATGAAAACAAAATATATGACATTGACAATCCACAAAACTGGAATTAAATTGATTTTTTTTCTGGTTAAAACAAAATAATGTTTCTAAAATAAAATATTAGGATTTAATTATTATGCCGGTTACAATCAAAGCAACAAGTGGCATAATCTATAGTGGTTATCATTTAATATTTAATCATGTAGTCAAATTATCCTTATGGATACAAGATTTTCCCGATTCATCATATTCAAGTTTAGAAATCCATAATTGTTGAAATGTTCCCAAAGATGCAAGTATTGATCCACCAATCCATGATGCATATTTACGTTCAGTTGAAGAATTATTCGCAACAACTTTATGACGTACATTTTTTGGTGCTGTAGCCATCATTTCGTTTGTCATACGATCGGTAAATCCTTCGATCAATGTATTTCCACCAGCTAATATGATAGATGATAATAGTAATGGTCGTATATCGATATCACATTCATTAACGCTTGATAGTAATAGATCTGGATAGGTTAGCCATTCTTTTGGTAGATTTGATAAATATGAATATGAACATGTTGTCGATGTTTGTTGTTGTTGTTGTATGAATTCCGATATATTAAATGATTTGTTGAAAAATATTTCAGGTATTAAAAATTGATCATTCAATGAAACATCCATATTGTAGCCATCAGGAAAATGATAATTAATTGGATCATAATACTTTTCTGCTTCATTAAGATCATATTTGGTGTCATAAACTTTCAATACTGATGCTTTATAGTTACGTATTTCGGATAATAGCATATAATTTTGCCATGAATTTGTTAATCCTATTTTTGTTATTAAAATATGAAAAATATGTGTAACGATTATTATGAACTTGAAAAATCATCATAATTACCATCAGCAATCTGTCGTTTATTCCAAATGGCAGGTTGTCCTGGTTCAACTGGTTGTTTCGATTTGATCATATAATATGGATTGACTTCGACTTTCATTTCATTCAAATGTTTATAACATAAACTGGTAATAAATTCTCCGGCAAAATGATTACGTTTAATCGCTTTTTCGATCACATAGCCTTCGTAAACAGGAATAGCGGCCGTATGATCGGCACCAGAATCGAATACAATTCCAGATGGTCGTCCAACACTGAATGCTACAAGCATTGCATTTTTAGCCAAATAGAATGCCGGTACATTATATTTTTCAAACATTATTTCCGTTATTTTTTCACGACATTTTTTGGAATTCCACTAAGAATTTTAACAAAGTAAAAGTGTAAATACAATGAAATATTGAAAGCATGCTCCATTATCTTATTTACCGAAACTTCCGAGAACATAACTGGATGCTGTGATGATTCGGACATGATATGTCGAGCATAAATATAATCAAGCATTTTTTCAAATAAATCCCAATCGTCAACTAAATTGAAAGATATCAATCATCACTTTTCATATAAAAATTATCAACGTACTCATTCCATCTCGAAGAAATGTTTTAATCTCTTGGCCAGGACGGGCAACATTTACTTGTGTGGTATCAATGTAAAATCTTCGCTCTTTACTACCAGTGGATGAAGAACCGCTATCTACACGATCCATTTCCGTGGCCAATTTACTTGGAGCATCGTGTATGGCAACTATGGATGGTATTTCCGATTTTGGTGCATCTTCACCTGCATAGCCAACTTTTGTTGAAAAACTACCAACATCGAAAACAATTGCACCAACTTCGTCTATCGTATCATGTGTAAAGTAAAAAAGCTATTATAGCGCCATACTAAATTGATTTCGATTAACAAACCTCCACCATAGACATTCGACATTATTTGTAAATGAATTTCTAATTTTAAAAAATCCGAAGATTTTTTTTTGTTTAAAAAAATATTGTCAAACTCAGAATTCAAAACAAAGCATGAATGGGCTCAACATAAAGGACGTTTTTTTCTTTTTCAGACAAAAGGATTCACCTTTTGCAGACAAAATGGCAAATTCTGTATTAATTTAATTAATAATAAAATGTCAAGTGGTTAAAAAATATGATAATACATTTTCTAAATGATGATAAGCCATACATATATTAATAGCTAAATTGAAAATTAGGTCGGTTGTTTTTTCTATCAAAAGATGACATACGTTAGTGAAATGGCTTTTCTCTACTTCCTTTGGTTAAGTTTATCAGTTCTTATTGTTGACTGTTCTGACTATGCTGATTGGTATCTAGTCTGGCAAGATGAATTCAATGGTGAAGAATTAGATTTGAATCATTGGGAATATCAAATTGGTGGTATCAATTTTGGCAGTCATGAAATAGAATACTATACAAATCGAACGAAAAATGTTCGTATCGAGAATGGCAGTCTGGTGATTGATGCTCAGATTGAAAAATATGATTCATATAATTTCACTTCGGGTCGAATTCATGGTAAACAATCTTGGACATATGGAAAATTTGAAGCTCGAGCTCGTTTACCTAGTGGACATCAACTTTGGCCAGCTATTTGGATGATGCCTCATCTCAGTAAATATGGTAGTTGGGCGGCAAGTGGTGAAATTGATATTATGGAAAATAAAGGTGATCATCCTGCCGTTATCGAAGCTACTATTCATTATGGTGGTAAAAGACCATATAATACACATACAGGAAGTGGACCACGTGATTTTCACTGTGATCTTAGTAAAGACTTTCATTTGTATGCAATTGAATGGAATGCAAAAGAAATCCGTTTCTATTTGGATAATAATCACTATTTTACTGCAGATATCGATCGAATGATGTGGTCGGGCAAAGGTCCAAATCCATATACTCGAAAAGGCCAACCATTTGATCAATCATTTCATTGGATTTTGAATGTTGCAATTGGTGGTAGTTATTTCGGTCCAGGGCCTTATGTTACACCTGAACAAGCAAAACATTGGCCAAAGTCCACAATGGAAATTGATTATCTACGTGTTTATCAACAAAAAAAATAACAATCTTGAAAATAAAAATTGAAAGAACAATTAATTAAAAATTGATCACTTGTAACATATTATGTTTTTTTGTTGATTAAAAACTAACTTTTTTGAGGGAAATTTATGCAGCTGAGCAAAGAATGATATTTTTCAAGTTTTAAATAAAACACTTGAAAATTACCTGTTTATGCCAATGAAGTGGTTATTGAGAGTGTTGATCATTTTGATTATGATTATGTCTTTTTTCTCTATAAAAATAGCCAAACTAATTGAACTAAAATCTATAATCGATAATCAACATGATCGCTAAATACATTCTAATATTATGTGCCTTTACCATTGGCACTTCGATGGCCAATTGGCAGATGGTCTGGCAAGATGAATTCAATGGTGGACATTTGGATCAAAATCATTGGGAATTCGAAACCGGTGGCGGTGGCTGGGGTAACAATGAATTGGAATTCTATACTGCTAATCGTTCGCAAAATGTACGCGTTGAAAATGGCCATCTTGTGATCGATGTACGTGTTGAATCATATGGTGGTCGAGATTTTACGTCGGGTCGAATTCATTCAAAACAAGCTTGGGCATATGGTAAATTTGAAGCTCGTGCTCGATTACCAAGTGGTCATCATCTTTGGCCAGCAATTTGGATGTTTCCAAGAGATAGTAAATATGGCCCATGGGCTGCAAGTGGTGAAATCGATATCATGGAATATCGTGGTGATGTTCACGACAAAATTGAAGGAACCATACATTATGGTGGACAATGGCCGAATAACATCTACACCGGTAGTGGACCTCATCATTTCAATGTTGATTTTAGCAAAGATTTCCATAATTTCGCTGTTGAATGGGATACAAAAGAAATCCGTTGGTACATGGATGGAAACAAATATTTTAGTGTTAACATTGATCGAAATATGTGGTCGGGTAAAGGTAATAATCCTTACAATAAAAATGGTCAACCCTTCGATCAACCATTCCGTTGGATTTTGAATGTTGCTGTCGGTGGAAATTTCTTTGGTCCAGGACCATATGTTACACCTGATCAAGCACGTCATTGGCAAAAACATACCATGGAAATTGATTATGTTCGTGTTTATCAATGGCGATAAATTCACATACATTTTTTTATGAAAAAGCATTTAAATTTTTTTTTCGAATAAAAAATAAAGAGATTTTTAAAAAATCAAGTGTTTTGTTCTAAATAAGATAATTGAAAAATACTTAAAACCCAAGAGGTTTGGGCCTCTTGTTGATCTAATTATCCTAATCGATTACAGTGAAAAACGTATATAATGCAGAACGATAATCATTTAAAGATTTATATCAAAATTTTGTCGATAAAAATGATGATGCAAAATTTTCTTTTGTTTTCAACCCTTGTTCTACTTGCTGGAACAACACAAGCTGAATGGCGACTTGTCTGGCAAGATGAATTTAATGGTAATCATGTGGATTTAAGCCAATGGGGTTTTGAAGTTGGCGGTAATGGTTGGGGTAATAATGAATTGGAATTCTATACGTATAATCGAACCGAAAATGCTCGAATCGAAAATGGAAATTTGGTAATCGATGTTCATGTTGAAGATTATCGTGAACGTCAATTTACATCAGCTCGAATGCATACAAAACAAGCATGGAAATATGGCCGATTCGAAATTCGTGCACGTATGCCTAATGGACATAATCTTTGGCCTGCAATTTGGATGATGCCACTGGAAAGTATTTATGGAATTTGGGCTGCTAGTGGTGAAGTCGATATTGCCGAATTTCGTGGTGATATTCTTGATAAGATCGAAGGTACAGCTCATTATGGTGGTACATGGCCGAACAATATCTATTCGGGCAGTGGACCACGATCATTTAACGTAAATTTCAGTCAAGATTTTCATACATTTGCATTGGAATGGGACCATAAACAATTACGATGGTATATGGATAATCAACAATATTTTTCATTCGACATTGATCGTATGTTGTGGTCAGGTAAAGGTGCCAATCCTTATACCAAAAATGGTCAACCCTTCGATCAGCCATTTTATTTGATGCTTAATGTTGCTGTTGGTGGAAACTTTTTCGGTCCTGGTCCATATGTTACGCCGGATCAAGCTCGCCAATGGCCTAAACATACTTTTGAAATTGATTATGTCCGTGTTTATCAACAATAACATTAAAAATTTTATAAAATTACAAAGTAATTTCAAATATTGTTTATCATTTAATCATTAAAATTGAATAATTTTTTCTTTAATCAATGAATTCTTAATGTTTAGATATTGTTTGAACATATAATTCACACCTGTACAAATTTGTTTAGGATCATATTCAAAATTTTCAATAATTGCTTCTTTTTGATTTAAAGTAACACCAATAAAAACAACGAGACAAAAAAAGTAGCCAATTTTTGTTTCGTTCATGATATTTTGGCATGAATTTTCTGCTTTTGTCGAATAGCCGGGATCGATTTGGTCCCATCCTTCAAGATAAAATCGAATAAATTTTTCAAGAACATCATCCGATGGTAGATTTAGATTTTGAAAATCAAATATGTTCCTACCCCATTCTATTAAAAATGTTGCTAAATCGTATCCACGAAATCCATATGCACCATATTCAAAATCACAAAGAAGTAATTCTTCATTATCTTTTAACACCATTATATTGCTACTACGAAAATCATTATGGCAGAAAACCATCGGGCATTGATTATCGTACTGTTCCATAAATGAATAAAACCAATCCATTTCAGCAAGAAAATCATTTTCAAGCAAACCAGTCAGATTTAATTCTTTGGCCAATGATGAAACGTTTATACGATGATATCCATCATGAATATAATTGATTACTATATCAAGAAGATTGAATTTATCCTTCGCGATCGGAATATCCAAACTATTCAGCTGTGCTAAACAATGCGCTAGTTTTCGTAACAATCGATCATTTTGTTGATGTTTCGGAGCGAATCGTTCATGCTAAAAGATTTGAATTATTATAAAATTTTATAAATTAAAACATTCAAATGAATACCTCATGATATGATTGTATGATACCATTCGGTATAATACCGAATACTTTTGGTCCTAAACCTCTTTCACTCATTATTATTGAAATAATTGTATCATTCAGACGTTCATCATCGTTATCATCTTTTTTAAAATGTTTACTTTGATAGAATTTTATTGTTATAGCATTATTTGTTTCATCGGAATGATTCTTCAATCCAACATAATATAGTTGATTAGTAAGACCACCGGTAATACGACGGATATTCAAATCATCTTTTGTTCGACATAACCGTCTCCAATCATTATTATTTGCCATATAAATTTTAGCAAGTTTAAAACATTGTTCACCAATATCATCGGGTGTTGTTCCACGAAATAATTCTTCGGGAATTATATTTTTATATTTTTCAAACAATTCATCTTCAACTTTTTTCTCCTCATCATCAATCACGGAAGAAGACATTATTGATGAAAAAAATATGAAACTCAAATCAAATGCTCGAATCGAATGATGCACATAAAATAAGATTTTTTTTTTTGCAAAATTTCGGCAACTTTTATTTTTTATTAATCAAATCATGTGAAAGTTTTTAAAATCATAATCGTGAAATCGAAAAAAATAATGATAATCAAATCAAATCAATATCAATATCAATCAAAAAAAGATAAGTTAATCAAATTTGTTGTTGCTCTTCATCGATTTGTTTTTGTTGTTTTTGGATCTTTACCAAATCTTTTACATAAAACAAAAGAACCGTATAGCACACGATTGTCATTATCATTTGTCCCAATGTTGAATAGGTTCGCATTTCGGTATACATAACAATTGTACCGATTAAATTTATTGTACCCAATACGATATAAATCAAACTAAGATAATAATGTTCTTTAATAACAGCAACCAAACCAATTAAATCGATAATTATTTCGGTAATGTTTGTATAAAATTCTGTCATAAACTGATAAGATAAAATGAAATTATTTTTTATGATTATTAATCTTTTCAAGATTAAAGAAAATACCTGATTAAAATCTTCATTTGATTGTGGATGTTGTTGTTGTTGTTGTCGATAATCATAATAATCGATATATGGAGAAATGGCAAAATTATTTTGACGAATTGATTTGGTCGAATTCATAGCTATCTGTTGTCGTTGTTGTTGTTTTTGTTGCAAATTTCCAAAATAATTTGATGTCATAATCAAATTGATGACCAAAAATGTTAATACAATCAAATTGATTGAATTCAATATAATTGTTGACCATTTTTTCAATTGAAAACAATGTGGTTTTACAATTCGATCCGTTTTTGCCATCTTTATCTTAATCATCAAAAAGAATTGTGGAAGAATATTTTTAGCTTTTGGTTGCATTTTCTTTACTTTTCTACTTTTTTTTCCTCGTTTATGATATTCGGGAAAAACAATAAGTCGTAAAATGAGAATAAAAAATTTCACACCATCAATTTAAGCAGCAATTATAGTCATGACATCTAGTCTAATGGTCAAATGTCATGATGACACAAACAAAAAAACAATGAATGAATGAATATTTATTAATCATAAAAATAAACTATTTATTTTTTTTTAATGATGGATGAGCACAATTAGTAATAAAATACGAAAATATTCTTCTGTCTGAACAAGATTATATTTGCTTGTTTTTTTGTTTTGTATGAAATCTCACTAATAACATTCTTATTATTATTAAGGCAACAGATATTATTATTCAACAATACGAAAAAAAAGTAACAAAATATATTATTTTCTTTCTTGAAGTTACAAATATATAAATATTTCTGGCTAATATGTGGTTGTTATTTGTCTAATAAAATTTGTCTTTAGATTTATGAATATAACAAAAATATGTCGGAATATATTTTTTTGTTGTTGAAAGAATTTTTCAGTAAGAGCTTAATTCTTATTCTTCAAAGATTGTCAAATTTTTTTTAATCAATATCCAATATTGGTCGTCCATGTAAATCTTGAACATCACGATAATTTTCTTTAACATTATGATTAGCATCACTATATGATTCTTTTTCATAAAGTTTTCGAAATTCAGCAATTTGTTTTTCACTTGCACGAATCGGTGTTTTCATTAAATGCCAAAGTACTGATTCATTGTATGGTGGTGTTGTTAATGATCCTAAATAAAACCAATAATTGGGTGAATGACGATCGGGCACCAATTGATTGAGGTCCAAATGTTCATTTTGTACGGATTTTTTATCGCCTTTATAAGGAATGGTCGGTATCAAACCTATGAAAAAGAAATGAAATGATGATATATAACGTTTTTTTTTTGTTTATGCAAATAACTTACTATCAATGATGGCGAAAATTGGATGTTGTTCGCAGCCAATCTCAACAAAAACACCAATAACAGCCAGACCATCTTTACTTTGTGTTTGTGCTTGTTTTGGATTCGAATATTTTGTTGCATTCCAATGGACCAAATGTAGTTCACAAGGATAGGTTCGGCCATTTACCGTATGTTCAGAGCCGGTGTTTGAATCTCTACCCCAATGAGCATGAATCTGAAGTAAACGATAATGATCGCTACCCAAAGTACCACCGGTAATTTCTATTAAAAAAAGATCAATTTTTTATTTGAAAATTAAAAAAAGCCAATTTTTTTTCTTACCACAATTTTTTGCATGTTCATCCGGAATGCTTAATTGCCAACCATGACCAGTATTTTGAATAGTCAATTGAACACCAGTCAATGGACTATAATCAATATATAATGGTTTGGAACCATCTTGTAAAACTGAACGTTTTGTTCGTTCATTAACAACATTTTCCGTACGAATATCGATAGGTGATTGTCGTTTACCGGTGACTGGAACTAAAGTCAAAAAAATAAAATTAAAATTAATTTACAATGAAAAAGTAGTAAAAAATCACTACACTAGGTGGCACGATTTTAATTTTTCAAATTTTTTTTTTCATTTTGAAATTTCACCAAAAACAAAACAAAAAAAAATTTGATTTAAATTTTCTTTTTTTTCAAATCTATTCAAATTACCTTCAGGCAATTGTTGTTGTTTTGGTTGGACAGCAGTCGACATTGTTTATTGAATAAGAAGGGGATTAAATTTCTTTTTTTTTAAAATAAATCTGCCAAAAATTATGGAATCGGATTTGGACAAAAAAAAAGAAAGTATTAGAAGAAAAAAAAACCGATAAGAACGTTTTGAATGACAAATATCAAATGAATCGAAATGAAATTAATTCAAACAATAATATAGAATTTATTTTATTTTATTTTCGAAGAAAATGAAAAAAAAACAATGTACCAATATTCGATCGAAATATTCGATTGATTATTGAATTGAAAAACAAAAACAACAATAAAAATAAATATTCGATAACATGAATCAGCACCTATTATTATGATGAAAAAAAATGTATCAACCAAATTGCTTTCCACCATTTTTTGTTTTACCATTATCACCATCACTCCCACCATCACAGCAACAACAGAAACATGTCATTGAATAATAATAATAATGATTCGATTCGTTTGAATTTAAATTATTATTCAATGTTTTTTTGTTTTGTTCTTGGTAGCAGGCAAATCTATCGATCGATCTTATCAACATTCGAATCTTACCAAAGTTTTTGCGAGAAAAATTTTTTTTTTTGTAAAATAATGAAAAAACAAATTACCTTTTCGATTGAGAAGAGAAAAACAAAACAAACAAACCGAAAATGAAAAATGATACCAAAAACGAAAAAAGTTTCAAAATATTCAAAAAGAAAGATTAAAAATTGTATGTGTTTATGAATGTTGTGAATGAATGAATTGAATGTGATGAATGCCAGCATAAAATACTTTTAGCTTTTCAATGCTTACATCACCATTTGATCGTCATGACTTGATGATGATGATGATGGCGAAGGCCATGGTTTTATATTACTTAAATTAAAATCATCATAATCGTTTATAATTACAATGATAATACCACAATTTATATTTTTTGAAAAAAATTGCTCTTTTTCAATTCATAAAGAAACATCGATGGCGTCATCAACATCAACAACAATGACAATAAACGATGGATGACGATGGCGGCGACAATTATCATCATCATCAGGGAAAAAAGTGACTAAACACACTTTACAACCAAAGAATGTTTATTTCTCTTTAATATTTTTTTCTTATTTTTTCAAAAATTTTTTCCCTTTAAAATTTTTCAATCTTAGCTATTTCCAACACCCTTCCCTCCCGAAAGAAGGTAACAATAGTTTATTTTAAAAATCCTAAAAGTAATAAGTGAAAAAAAAAGAGAAAGTCGTAATCGAAAAATATAATTGCAAAATGTAAAATACTTCATTATACGATCCTGGACCGAAAACCTAACCAAAACCAACAAATAGCGATACAACCTGACCAATTTTTTTAATCAAACTAAAATATTTCATTATAATCAAGTGTGTGCGTTATTACAATTTAATTTCTTCAATCTAAATAATTACCCCCCTTTCCATTAGATCATTGTACTTTTGATTATGAATGTAATTATTTCAAATGTGAGGAAAAAAATATCCGGTGTTGTTTAGTCTGATAAGAATGAAAACAGTAACAACAACAAAAATTTTGTTTGTTTGCCAGGAAATGTCAATGTGATTATGATTAGTCCAATGTCATTTTGGAAATTAAAACAAAACAAAAAAAAACAAAACAAAATAAACATTTTATATTGTGGTTTTTTTCACATAGAAATAAATTCAACCAAATACATCAGATAGATGGATTCAATGGTTTAACAGAATTTTCACATAAGCTATTATTATCAATTTGTCAATGACAATAACAAATTTTTCTTTTTCTTTTTCTTTATTTTGTAATGATTGATAAAATAAATTATTATCATTATCATCATCAATTGGATAATTACATTTACCCACACACACACACGCCATAAAGCAATTTTGAAATCCTTTATTGCTTGTTGGTTTGTTTAACTAATCAACTTGACAGACAAACAAACAAATTTTCAATCATAATTATTTATCCATAATGATGATTATGATTGAATTCCTATATATGCAATTCAACCTTGACAATGATTATTTAAAGTATAATCAGTCAATCAGACAAAACAACAACAAATCAAATCAAACAACATTCCAAATGAATTTTTCGAAATTTTTATTTCTCTTCGTTCATCATCATTATCATTTGTTAGTTAAATCAATCAATCGATTGATTGAAATAATTGAATTCAGAAAACATTAAATTATCGCATCCATAATTTTCATAGCTATTTATAACTTACATTTTTTTCACGTTCTTCGAATCGGTGATTATTATTATTATTGTCGTTTAGATTTGTTGATTCATCTTGTTTTGATTTGATTTGATTTGAAATAAGTTAATTGGAAAAATGGAAATGCACCATTAATTACGAAAATAATAATTATGTATAAATTAATGCGACAATGTATAAAAAAATAGATTAAATCTGTTTGATCTGGATCGGATCTGAATTGGCCATTATCGTTATCATCATTATCATCAAATCAGTCGAATATTTTATCGATTTGGCGGTTTAGAATCTTGTTTTTTATTTTCACACAATTCATTTTGGAAACAAAAATAGAAAAAAATGGAAATGGAAAGATTTGTGCGCAAGTATCAAGTGTTTACAAACTTTGTTTGTTGATGATGATGACAGATTGATGGAAGTTTAGGGAATATCTGATGGAATTTTCAATAAATTATTATTATGAATGTTCATGATGTTCATGATGATTGGTACATTCGTCAAATGGCCAAAATAATGAATGAATGAATGAATGGTTTTGATGCGAACACCATTCCATTTTTTTTTGTTGTTGTTGAATTGAATTTGTATTGGAATTTATCGTAAACATTTTTGTCAATGGAAAAAAGATGGATGGATTCAATAATTACTATAGTTATTTGTTGTTGTTGTTGTTGTTTTCGTCCATATAATTTATTCATTCACAAAATTTATATCAAAAATCATGAATTCCTAGTTTCATTACACCACTATCATTTTGTTTTTGTTTTTTTTTCTCATTGAAGATTGTCGATATCGATAAACAACTTTTCAATAATCAAATGTGTGTGTGTGTAGGTGTATGTACTATAAGTATTTCATAGGAATTACTAGAAAGAAGAAGAAGAATTTATGGTCAAAGACGTCCTTTCTTTTTTTTCCCTTATTTTCTTTGTCTTTCTATCTATCTGTCTTCTTCTTCTTCTCTATACAATATAAACTTATATGAAAAATTATATTGAATTAAAATCATCATCATCATCGTTGCTTTTCCGTGTATATACCGCAACCCTGACGAAAACGAAAATGTCGATGCAGTCGATATTGAATTCTGTAATGTTTTTTTTGAAAAAATAATATAAAGCTGCTACAATAAAAACACCCCATACAAAAATACCGCTACTCTAATATTGCATCTATACAATGCTACCACAATAATATTCTATACTTTTTTTTGACATTGAGAATTTGATTTTAATTTGAGATGTGTGTGTGGTATAATTTACCCTATGTATATAGTGTGGACCCAAAAAACGATTCTGGAACGGGTAAACTTTTTTTTCACTCTTTATCTTTTCTATAAGTCAAATCGGTCAAATTGGCTAGGACATGGGCGGTTGTCACAATTTAATGTTTCTAAAGTTATTCCGGATTTTCTATTAATAATCATTTTGAAAGAATTTCCATTAATATTGATTTCCATTAAATCGATATGCTGTATAAATATACTACACAGTTCAATCTAAATGAACCACTTTGCATTTTCATTTCATATCAGTTTTTATGCCGGATATGAAACAAAACAAAAAAAATCGAGAAAAACAGAATTGAAAGAATATTTACCCTGACATCTGATATTCAAAAAAACAAACAAGAAAAAAAAGAAATTTGATCAGAATCGATAGCGACATCTATCGTTTATCAACTGAAAATTATTATTTGTTAATCTTTTATGTTAATTTTTATCAATTTTTGTCAAATCATTTTTATCTAATCAAAAAAAAAAACAAAATCAATAACTATAATCACATAAGATTAAAGTCATAAATTTATCTTTCTTCTAAAACAACAACAACAAAATAATAAATCAGGATGCAATAATTTATTTATCAAAATTTAGCGCTAAAAAAAATCTGCACCAAAATCCTGACCAATTCAAATGAAAAAAAAAACATGTACATGCAGAATACATGCGCACTTTTTAATCCATCTATCAGCATAGATATTTTTTTTTTTTTTTTTTTTTCAATTTGTTTTTTGTTTTTATTATGGCCGATGATATTAAGTGTTTACTTTTTTTTTT